CTTGTCAATATTTGGCCAAGTTATTCAGCGAGCATTGGGGTGTGGTTCTCACGTATACTAACTTTATCAACATGATCGCCTTTACCTGGTCAGACAGGTATAAGAGGATATACCTGAACTGCTTCGTGAGGAAGACAAACGCAGATTCCATATCCTGCATATTCTTACAACATTTTGCAAGCCGATATCTTTTTTGCCGTAGCTTCTATATGGTCCGGTCCTGCTGCTTATTTATTCACTGATCTATTTAATTTCAGAATAACACGGGCAGCTGACCGCAATGCAGAAAACAGGCACAACAACAAGAACAACAGAGAGGAAATATATTATACGCCTCCTGAGGGACGACCAGACTGAAATCGAACATGTTTGGGAAATGGTAGTCCGGAATATGAGTAGGGCTATGATATCCGGAGTCACACTAAAGGGAATACGGCAACCTTTTGTGATTGCTGGTGCATTTGCTGTCTTCGCCTTGCTTTACAAATATCTTGGTGATTTTGCAATGTCGGGAGCAATCGCCATTGTTGTTTCAATCTGCTTATGTCTTGTGAACACATACTATGGGTTATACTATGGTCTTTATAGTGATAGATTATGTCCAGACGCGGGCCAGAATATGTTTGCATACTACATGAAAGAGAGACGACGTTGCTGGGTTGCTGAAAGCGATAAGAAAATCATCGCAGCGGTCGGGATCCAGGAAAAATCGTCAACGGGTAATTCTCCTGAGGCGAAACAGACGTCTGTCGCCGTGCTTCAAAGGTTAGTGGTGGAACCGGAATACAGAAGAATGGGCGTGGCAGACGCTTTGATCAAAACCGCCTTGGAATTCTGCAAAGAGCAAAAGTACGAGGAGGTCATCCTGGACACATCGGAAGTTCAACATGACGCTATGCGCTATTATTCCAAACGTGGCTTTGTAGAGATCGGCTGTTTTACATTTGACGATTTGTTTCCGCTTTTTGTATTGAAGATGCATTTGTTCAAACTAGATCTGAAAGACAGGTCATAATAATCTTTACATCTTACTTGTTCTTCTTATCAAACCAAATGAATAATCTCATAAAGCTTCAGGAAAAACTTACTATATTCTAGGGATTTTACAATGTATTTCAAACTTAAAATGTTTTTTACCAAAAATGTATCAGTAAGGGATTACAGGAGCTACGTATTTCGACTAGAATGAATTAGACTTGTGAAGATTCTTTTGTCTATAGCTATTTATATTAGTTTGATTTTACCATCCAATATTTCATCTGCTTGCAGTCAGATTTCATCAGGGAATGAGGTCAGATCACCTATAACAAAATATACCCTACATCGGATGCTACTCCGAGATTTTATGCAACACCTAAGATCCACAAAGACCTCATAAAAATGCGTCCTATTGTCTCTGGTATCAACTCCATTACGTACAACCTTGCAAGATTCCTAGCAGATCTTCTGAAACCTTTAGTAGGGAAGAAACCAAGCCATATAAACAACTCACAAGACCTGGTGAAAAAAGTGGAAGAGATCACTCTGGAAGAGGGGGAGGTGTTAACCTCATTCGACGTAACAGCCCTATTCACCAGCGTACCAGGCAACGAAGTGACAAATATGGCAGTAGAAAGGGCCAANAAAAAAAAAAAAAAAAAAAAAAAAAAAAAAAAAAAAAAAAAAAATTCTGCACCAAAATTGAGAACTATCGGATTTTCAGTGTATTTATAACATGTGCACTTAATTGCCCAAATTTCATTTTTTAAAAATAATTTTTAATGTATTTCTATGAGTTTAATTTCATCTGAACATTTTAATGACTACTTAATTATTCTCATTTTATTAAGTTATCTAACAATTGATATCATTGGACAATACAACTATTTAAATTGCAAATTACGATTGTTATTAATATTTTTATTATTTTATGCGGTGTGTGCCTGGTGAATTTTTTTCTTTAAATTGATATCAAATTGAGAGTCTTTGCCGTTGAGTTATGATTATCGTTTCCTCGGGATTATCTTTTCATTTCAAGTGTACACACTTCTAACATCTGGTAGGCCTAGCCTTTTCTTTGGAGAATATTCGAACAGTTACCTGACGCACACACGAGAATTATAAACTATGCCAAAATTAGGCAATCTTTCCACACGCCCGTAATAGAGTGCACGGCGATTGTAAATGGATCCAGCGTAATAAAAAGACTCAAAGGTTTTCTTGTTTTACCTAGCTGATGAAAACACGATCCCTTTCGTTGGCGGCTGTAATTACAGAAAACACAAATAGCATCATTTAGATAACCTTGACGAGTGTCCAAATTCGCCACAATGACATTAATGCTGTGCATAGTAAGATAAGTTTTGTGGCCATATGGCAGTTTCACAGTGAAAGGTGTCCACCTGTCCTTTCGAAGTTCCCTAACTTGAAGGCGAAACAGGATTGCCTTGTATGGATTGATATGTAGATAAGTCTAAGGGCCCATTCAGAAAAGGGGACTACTTAGTCCGAGGGTCAATTATGGCCACCAAATACAAAGCCCAGCGGGCAAATTATGTTGTTTAGTTGTGATAATTACGAAAAGCACATACAGGTGCCATGATGATATTTTATATTCTGTTAACCTTGACGGATGTACAATTGCCACCCATTATAAATGAATTCTGTGTATACATGTATCAACATTAGTTTTGTGGCCATATGGCAATTTTCACAGTGAGCTGTGTGAACCTTTCAGACGTGCATCGTTTTCCAAATTAGAGGCTTTCCAGCGAAACGGGATAATTAATTTGTGGATACGTAAAATATGTCGACGTCGGTTCGGGTAAATGTTTCTCTAAATGGTGGAAAGCAGAAAAACTATTTAAGCAATATATATCTCCCTTATAATAAATAAAAGGTTGAGAACCAACCATATTAGTCCTTGGTATAAATTAAGGGTATTTGTAATTAGCATGTATACAACAGTGGCAACAGTCGATTTCTGCAAAAAATAACACCAATGGTCCCCTCTTGAAATTATAATTTTGACTAGCTGAACCAATGTTCTGAACCGTACCAAATGACACTGTTCGCCCTCTTATAAATACAACAAACTTTCGGAGTCCTTCGGCGGGCTTCGAATCCCACTCCAAGGTGGGGACGGGAGGGTCGGCTTCGCATCTACAGACGCCCCTTCAAATAATCCTGGGTCCGGCCCTGTATATGTTGCAACCACCCTACCTAATATAAGCGTCCAACAAATGACGATAGTAATCGAAACGGTTATTATGCAATTTTGTTCAGATCAAGTCTCAAGCTGTGTAAATCGAAGCTTAGAAGGGGAAACACCGTATCGCACGGGGCTACTCCTTTTTTCTCAAACCCATGCTTCAAGTAAAAGCACATAGCTTCAAACTGTATCTCAATTGTATATAAAACCATCACATCGTAGCCTTGCTCCTTGGCAAACTCGATGGCGGTGTCCAGCAGGGCTTTGGCCACAACCTTTCTTCTATATACCGGCTCCACAGCCATCCTCTTCAGCACTGCCACAGTGTACCTCCCCTCTCTAGGTTTACCCATCGGCGCCTTCTGTTGCTCTTGGATACCTGTTGCACCTATGATGACCCCGTCGTGCTCGGCGACCAAAAAACGGAGTCCCCTTTGTCCGCTGTTGTAGTACGCGTACATTTTGTGACTTGAATCTGGACATGATTTCTCATTAAATAGTCTCCAGTTTAACCCGTTGTAGGCGTTCACATAACTTACACACACTAAAGCTCCAGAGGCGACTGTTCCAGACACGACAATATTACCCAGATATTGGTAAACAAAGGCAAAAACTATCAAGGCCCCAACGTTCAACAGAGGATGCCGTATTCCTTTCAGTGTAATTCCCCAAATTATGCTGTTGCTTATATTACGGACTACCATTTTCCATACAAGCTTGCACTCGTTCGGATCCTCATTCAATAGACGTACCGAAAATTGCTTTTCGCGTTGCATCATGGTTGGTTCTGGCGTTGTCATGTTCGGGGAATTCTGCAAGATTAAGTGAAGATGTGTAGATCAATGAGGATTGTTTAACGTATAGTTGGTTTTGAGAAGAAATGCCAGGAAAATGTAAGTGAATGTAAGTATAACGTACGTCCAGGTGTGTGTGTGAGTGTTTGTGTGTGTGTGTTTTGTCACATCTAACACAGCCCAGTATTCTGATTAAGTCTGCTTTTAACATAAAGACATTTTAATTGGTCAATTTGTTTCTCAATCCATTGGCATAATGACTATTACTTCGATAAAAGTGCATAGCAAATGGATTTTTTCAACACATGTTTTGGTAAATATTTAAAGTTAATCTTTTATTAACATGTCTAGAAACTTGTGTTATACACCTGCACCCATCCCCACCTTACTACAGATATATACATGTGCGTATACACATTTTCTAAAGGAACAGTGTACCGGGAACAGTCAATGTATATTCCTTACGGGAACCTCCTATTCGGTCATATAATAAACTGGCCCAATAATAGGGTCCTTTAGACCACCCTGAAGTGTCTTTTAGGTCCCGTATAGGATATAGGTCCAAAATCCTACAAGGTCCTTAGGACACAGGCTCATGTACACCCTAGTTAGGATTCCCATAGGTGACCGATAGCATACCTCTAGATTCCTGAAAAGTCCTATAGGATTACTTTAAGGGTCATGTATAGGACTCATATAGGAAATGTTTGAAAGGTACGTGTAAATCCTCACGGCTCAATAATGAGACAAGTTGGATATAATCACCCTCACCTTTTCAATGCCACCTACATGTATATCTTTCAATATATCAACCTAAGGTATAGCAGCACAGGAATCAGGAATCATATAGGCCTACTGGTACCTGTATGTGAAAGCAATATTTTAAACATGACACAATCGCATTATGTAAATTATTGTCACTAACATGTACATGTTCATGTCTGTATGTAGACGCGTTTGGTGTATCGTACATTGCTGTAATAAATCATAGCCTTATCCTGCTTGCTTGGATCTTCCCTGTTCAAATGGGAACCATAATGAGAGAACGGTTTAAAATGTATTTAAGAATAAGATATACTGTCAGTTTTTTGTTCCAGTTAGACATTTTTGCTCCTACTAGCTCATTAAAGTATCGTACCTCTCTCAAAGATTCTATGCGCGCAATTTGTCTCTGAATTGTCAATAATTTGTAAGATAACGTTTTTGAAAATACAACATAGCCTTCGGCTGGACAATACATTACAATTATATTTTGCGTACAGCTCGACGCCTCGCATTGTATCTATCGTGATATTTGTGTTCTACCGCTAGGTGACACGTTAACAAGTATTGCGACTTGTCATGCTCCAGCGTTGGCATGGAAACAGAGCCCAGCTGTAACCTAAGCCAGTGCTTTCCTACACTCGTTCGTGGCTTATCGGCACGTTAGGGTACGCTATCCGCCAAATACCTGGGGCTACAAGTTTGACAGTTAGTGACAGGACAGGCTGTCTTAGATGTGATCTGTGAATAGGTAATGGTCAGAAAACATTGATTTATTTTGTACAAATATGGATCGTCATTTTTCCATTGCTTTTTTCCAATGCAACAATGTAACTTAGCTATTACGGATACGTATTTGGCCTACTTGCATCGGGCACGTGATAAAATGGTCTGAGATACAACTTTTTGTCAACTAGTCGAATATAAAAAACTACTCAAATATATGAGTATAGGCGACACTTTCTTCAACTCATGGAAAATGAAAAACATTGCTTGGATCCTGAATGTAAATATGCAAAAACTGAATGACAAATCTTTCAAAAATAAACAGAAGGTGATATAGAGCAACATGCAAATGACGTTCGTATAAAGCCTCAAAAGCGCATTAAGTGGAAGCAGGAGCGATAAATGTATTCTGTATTCAGTCTGCCGAGTTATATGACGTACACGGACCCAATACGAATTACTTTGGAACATTGGAGTTCATAAAACCCCAATATCTCACACTAGCAAGTGGAATAGCATGCTCATTCCAAAACGTATTTTCCGGTCATACCTTAAAGACTATATCATCGAAGCTGAACCTATCGATTCCTTTTGCTCTATGTGCGTCTAGGATATGTAATCACACTCAGAGGGGAACGATTCATATCTGCACAGACAGCTGATTTATGATGGCACTTATAAACTCTCATCTTGAAGATAGGGCGGCGATATAAAGCATGCTGCTGAACTAATCCGACTTCTGCAGCAGCAAAACCCGTACGAAGGAGCCAAAGGCAAACAACCTCAATTTTTAAACGAATTTTTGTTAATAGAAATGGAAAACTTTTAAAACATTGTCGATAAAGGATATCAACATATTGCTTGAATACAACAAGTAGTACATTTACCTACAAAAATTTAAAAAAATAAAAATAAAAATAAAAACTGAGGCACGGTGCTTTCACATTTCACTGGGAGTTGGCATGCATGCATTGTTTGATAACCACTGTTGGATTTTGTCCGCATGAGTGTTAGTTTACCTTGTCAATATTTGGCCAAGAGTTCAGCGGGCATATTTCGGTGGACATACTTCGGTGTGTGGTTCTCACGTATAGTAAACCCTGTCAGCCAGTTATAAGAGGATATACCTAAACTCTCTCTTGAGAAGACTAACTCAGGCGATTCCAAATTCTGCATATCCTTCTAACATTTTGCAAATCGATATGTTTTTGACGTAACTTCTGTTGGGTCCGGGCCTGATGTTAATTTATTCACTGATCTATTTATTTTCAGAATAACGTGGGTAGCTGACCGCAATGCAGAAAACAGGCACAACAACAAGAACAACCGAGAAGAAATATACTATCCGCCTCCTGAGAGACGACCAGAATGAAATCGAACATGTTTGGGAAATGGTAGTCCGGAATATGAGTAGGGCTATGATATCCGGAGTCACACTAAAGGGGATACGGCAACCTCTTGTGATCGCTGCTGCATTCACTGTTTTCGCCTTGCTTTACAGATATCTTGGTGATTTTGCAATGTCGGGAGCAATTACCATTGTTGTTTCAGTCTGCGTATGTCTTGTGAACACATACTATGGGTTATACTATGGTCTTTATAGTGATAAATTATGCCCAGAAGCGGGACAGAATATGTTTGCATATTACGGGAAAGAGAGACGACGTTGTTGGGTTGCTGAAAGCGATAGGAAAATCATCGCAGCGGTCGGGATTCAGGAAAAAACGTCAACAGATAATTCTCCTGATGCGGGTCAGGCGTCTGTCGCCGTGCTGCAAAGGTTAGTGGTGGAACCGGAATACAGAAGAATGGGCGTGGCTGACGCTTTGATCAAAACCGCCTTGGAATTCTGCAAAGAGCATAACTACGAGGAGGTCATTCTGGCCACATCGGAGGTTCAACATGACGTTATGCGCTATTATTACAAACGTGGCTTTGTAGAGATCCGTCATTCTACATTTGACGATTTGTTTCCGCTTTTTGAATTGAAGATGCATGTGTTCAGACTAGATCTGAAAGACGGTTCATACCAGTAGTAATTTTAACATCTTAATTATGCTTCTTATCAAACCAACTGGATAGTCTTTTAAAGCTTGAAGGAATACTTACTATATTCTAGATATTATTCCATATATTTTAAACCCAAAATGTAGCAGTGGGGGATTACAGGAGCAGCTTATTTCTATTAGAATGAATCAGTAAGTCATTAAGATATCAGTAGATAATTATAATGATTAATAGCTGGTTGGTGCCTACCCAAGTGATGCACTGTATTGTGGATGACATTTCACTTCCATGAAACCTTTTCTTTGGAGAATATTCGAACAGTTACCTCCGACACTTACCACTAAAATTGTCTAAATAAACTAAAGCAAAACTATAAAAGCACTCAGAGAGCGCAGACCTCCGCCAAGGCAGCAAAGTCTCCGTCCAATGCCTTTTCACCCCTAAATTTTCGATATTTTGATTATTGACTATTGACTGATTGTTGATCCGGATCACCACCAAAAATCATCAAAATCGATCCATAACTTTCTGAGTAATGTTGGTGATAGACAGGCAGAAAGACAAGAGAGACAGACAAACAAACAGAGGGGTGAAAACATAACCTCCTTGGCGGAGGTAATAAGTCGATCTTCCCATGTATCCGTAGTACAGTGCACGGTGATTGTAAATGGATGAAGAGTAATAAAAAAGACTTGTAGGTTTTCTTGTTTTACCTAGCTGGCGAAAACACAATCCCTTTCGTTGGTGGCTGTAATTACAGAAAACACACATGTGCCATTATAGCATTATTTAGATAACCTTGACGAAGGTGCAAATTTTTAAAATTAAAATAAATGCTATGCATAGTAAGATTATAGTTTTGTGACAATATGGCAGTTTCACAGTGAATGTTGTCCAACTGTAGGTTCGACGTTCCCTAACTTGGAGGCGAATCAGGAGTGCCTTGTGTGTATTGGTATGTATATAAAGGCTGCGCTCACATGAAAAACCTAAATTCTAAAAACCTAACAATCCATTGGCGGTATATAGTGATCACGGTCTGTGCCCTGAATACCCCGCGGCGTAATTAACTAGCAGCGCGAGTGAGTCGTTTCCAAAGCTGTAGTTAATTCTTGGCTTATAAAAACAAACAAACGATTATAAAAAACAAACGAGATTAAATTGATCAACGAAGTCATTAGATGTTTCTCCAACCACAAATTGAGTTTATTTCCCCATAAACTGCGGGCAATTACACACTACCACAAGAAAAAAAGCCAATTGCATAAATTGCGGTTTAATGGAAAAGCTATATTGGGAAACAACCTTCCCTTTAAACTATTTATATATATACAATTTAACCTACTTATCAAGCCAATGTATACTGTCTAGAGCGTTAAGGCTGGTATAAACCGGTGTGACGTGACAGAGAGTCCTCCATGATAGAGAGTCCGGTTCCCCATTCATTTGTACAGGTGCTGTAAGCCTCACCCTAGATTTTGACCGACATATTTGAGGCTAGCTTGACCTTTATAATTAAGTAAATCAAGGGCAGACTCTGCTTCACGTACGGACCGTCAGTTTCGTCACACCGGTTAAAAAAAGGAAGCGTTTCACTGGCCTCGGGCACATTTGTGGCATTCGATTTGTTTAAATTCCGAATAAGGGTTGGAAATGCTCTGGACATCTACAGTAGCTGCTGGGATGATTTTCTTCTCAGTGGGGGTAGCTTTCACAGTGCTTACGATCTACTTACCTTGGGTACCACTAGCTACTTCTACCGGGCTTACAATGTGGGGAGTATGTTTGCTGTTCACTGAATGCATGCGGCAACGGGATCGAATGCCAGTCACAGGGCGGGTTGTCTTGGTAACTGGCTGTGACACGGGTAAATAATGCATATTATGTTATGTGCGGTGAAGTCTAACTCAGTATTTACTTACATAGCCTGATCCACGATAATAACGCTGGAGTGGTTAAAATCTATAAGTAACGGGACGGCACGACCCCACTCCCAAAAACATGATTAAAAAAATAATGAGCCTTTATTGCGTGCTTTCTTTTATTTCTTGGACCCTCCCTGTTTGACGGGAAACCAAAATAAGAGTGACTTGTAGAATTGTTATTGTTCTACATGTACTATATAGATAATACAGCATATACCGGCTTTAAAAGTCGGGGTCGATTGTCCTTGATTGTACAATGATCAATAGCCTACTACCAAATCCGAAAGTTTTTAATTTAAAATACTTTTGTAACCATTATAGGATTGGGTCATGAAATGGCAAAGTGTCTGGATAGTCTTGGTGTCATTGTCTTCGCAGGGTGTTTAGACAGCGCCGGGAAAGGAGCTGAAACGCTCCGAACCACGTGTTCATCAAACTTACACGTGGTGCAGCTAGATGTGACCAACGATGAACAGATAGATGAAGTTTTTTGCATGATCAAAAATAACTGCAAAGGTATAGGCTAACATTACCTTGCATTCAACGTCGGGCATATTTGATGTCAATGGCGTTTTAGTTTATATATATATAAACTATGCAAGATGTGTACTGAAATATACTGGTGTCTTTTGATTAATTTAATTATTGAGAACTGTATTTACTCAAACCTGTGCTATACCTCTATTCTATAGTCTATGGGATTTTGAAAACTAAATACATAAATTGCATATTTCAGAGTTATGGGGAGTGGTTAATAACGCTGGCATTGGCTGCTGGGGAGCGGTTGAGATCGTTTCTATGGAGTGGATACAAAGAACAATGGATATTAACACATATGGAGTTGTCCGCGTTTGTAAGAAGTTCCTTCCGTTAATCCGCATTTCACGAGGTGGGTAAGTCTATAATTAGCCGCGACTGACGTTACATTTAATTACATCTTATTAAAATGAATATAATTATAGTTTATAATTAACATGCTTCTGCTTTATATGCTTTCCAAGATACACGGTACAAGATGAGTCAAAACCCAAAACAAATGACCATCCAGTATAATTATCATAAAAATGGAAACTATAATTAATCTAGATCGTGTCCAACATTTAATTTTCAAACGGGAAAATGTATTTCCTCTTCTTTTATGTAGCATGCACTTAGCTCCCATTATAGAAGGGATACTGTAACGATCAACTTCTATTTTAAGGAAGAATAGTAAATATCAGCAGCGTCAGAGGTCTGTCGTCACGTGCCTTAAACTCTGGATACTGTATGTCCAAGTTCGCCCTCGAAACTCTCTCGGATAGTTTGAGACGCGAGATGAAGCGTTTTGGTGTTCATGTGAGCGTCGTTGAGCCTGCAAATTTTTCACTGGCGACCGAAGGAGGTGCAGTAAGTAGTTACAACTTAAAAATTAAGCATCGAATAATGTTGCGTTATGATAATTACGTCAGATAAACTCCTAAAAAATCTTCAGTTAATACATAATTTCTAAACAAATATTGCCTACTGACTTTTGGAAAATTATTCAGATAATTAGGTTTTTAAGCAATGAATGCTTTCTCCATATGTACGAAGAATGAATATTGCCTAGGGTTTAAGTTTTGGTCAAAAGTATGAAATATGTGTAACCCTGTACAAACCAGAACTAAATATAAGACAACTTGACTCCTTTCACTATTTATATAATATTCTTCAATTTTCAAACTCACAAAGCCGGAAAAATTAGATATTCCTTTGAGGGCTGATTGGGACACCATTACAGGCGAGTTAAAATCCGTGTATCCGAGAGAGGAGTACGTTGAGCAGTATTTGGCGAATTCTATAAAGAACAAAGAAATGTGTGGCGCCAAAAAAGATACTACCCCGATCAACGAGGCCGTACTGGATGGATTATTCTCACGGCAGCCATGTTGCCGCTATCTGATAGGAGGCACAGACAAAATCATGGATATTGGGAAGGTTAGACGTGTATGTTGTTACTTGTTGTCAATATATTTGGTTGGATGCTTCACGTTGAGTTGTTTGATTACTTTTCTGCTGCCATTTAGAAATAGTCGTTTTGTATCGTATGAAATTTTAACTTTAAAAAGGTTGACATCAGAACCAACGCGATATTCCTTATTTAATATTTTGATCACTGAAAATTCAAGGATTTTATAACTTTATGAATTAAAATCCCATAGAATGGTTTCCTCGCATTTTCTGTAGAACCCTGCGTTGACACTTTGGTCAACCGTAAAAATATTCAAGGGATCTGCATGAAATGTGTGTTACCTATATTGTAATGTACTGTTAATTTAATTGCAGGTATACGTTTTTCTTAACTGGTTCCTCCCCTGCCGAACCATGGACCGTATACTGGAGGGCGATTCTCCACATCGAGTTATTTCAAAAAAGTAAAACCCAGCTGCACAATGTACTAGTATATCATTAGAAGAAACTGTATATGGCCAACTAGTACCTCCAATTGAAGACAAATTCGTAAGCACAGGATTTCCAAGTCCCTGGCTCATAATGACATACTGTGTAAAATTACTAAGCTTAGTCGGTATGCCGTCTGCCGACCGATGAACATTTTCAAACTTCAAGCTCAAACTTCAAACTCTGATGTAATGTTCTTTCTTCTCGCGAGCGTGTATCTGTAAGAGATTGTAGGAACTACTTCAGAATAATGGTTTTACATCGATTAACTGTATTTTTGTTTGATTTCTACAGAGGTAAAGAAGGTGAAGAAATGTCCATTAAATTGAAAGAACAGCACAAATTGTCCCCAAATTTACATATAATTAACAGTCGGATGTGCTCGTTAAGGGTAACGGTATAAGACTGGGTTTCCATACCTAGGTCGATCCATCTGGATCTCCCTGGCGATTTTCACTATATTAACTTAAACGGCTTAAATGTCTGTCACGCCTAGTAAAGCTGTTATCATATTGTATCATATGACACGATAATTTGACATGATAATTAAAAAGTCTTAATTCAAATTACAGGGGGGGGGGGGGGGTTGGAGGGCCTGGCACATCGGAGGGCAGCTGTGGGAGGGAGTAGGCAGTGGGAGGGAATCAACATGAGGGCAGCTGTGGGAGGGAGCAGGCAGTGGGCGGGAATCAACCTGAGGACAGCTGTGGGAGGGAGTAGGCAGTTGGCGGGAATCAACCTCATGGCAGACGAGTGGCTAGTTCAGAGTATTTAATCACACATTGTCTATTAGGAATTTTGCGACTGCCTCAAACATTATTTCACTTTATCGTTAATAAAGCAAAACAATGCCTTTGCTTAATGAAAATCTGTTTTAGGGGTTCTTATCTCCATAACATAAAAACATTTAAAACGAAATAACGGGGCGGTACTGTAGCCCATACACTTGTAATAAAGTCTGCCAATTTTGGTGATAAAATTTTGTTTAGGGATAAAGCCACGCCGCATTCCGATTGCTGTCTCACCTTAAAAATAGAAAAGTGTAAAATAAACGATAAAAGCTTTGAGTTGCCTACAAGAAATATAAACGCCGATATTTTATATTTTCGGGGAGATTTATTTTGTTTTAAACCTCTTCAATGATATGTGAATTATATTGAATAATTAGATACAGGAAAAACCGAATATTCGGTATCGATAACAATAACGGGTAACAATACCCCTAAGGCGATCTCTCTTATATGTTACTGACCGTATGGATACAAAGGCACTCTCTCAATCTGGTACCATACAGAAAAGTGAACCGCTCAAGGTGAGAAGGGTTTTCTAACTTTGCAAATGTTTTAACCAATCAAACTGCCAGACTTGACTTCACAGTTTTTACCTGTGTAGCCAGGGTCACAGACACATTTATAACCGTTTACCGTGTCAATACATGTGCCATGCAAGCATGGCCAGCTGTCACATTCGTTCACTTTAGTATCACACTTCATCCCGATGAACCCAGCTTGGCAGCGACACACGTGGCCGTCAGTGGGACTGTAGTCACATCTACCTTCGTTCTGACAAAGGCATTGCTCACAGCGGGCACCGGTCCACATATTCGGGCATGTGCACTGGAAGGTCCCATCGAGCTGTGTGGTACAGCGTCCGCCATGAAGACAGGGGGAGCTGGAGCAAGGGTCGATACGGGTTTTACAGTGGGTGCCATTGTGGGCGGCTAGACAGGTGCAGACGTAGCCCCCAAGCTTCGGCGCACATGTGAACCCATGCTGACATGGGTTTGGCTGACAAAAATTGATATGGCCCTCACAATGTTTGCCGGTGTAAAACGGAGGACATTTACATTGGTAACCACCAAGCTGGTTTTTAAATGTGCCGGAAGCGCCATAATCAGTCTCCTTGCATTGCGCGCCGTTTTTGCAGGGATATGAAGAACATGGCTTTGTTGTAGATGTACTTTCTGTAAAAAAGACAAAAACGTTCAATCGATCCCCGTCAGCGCAAGCTTACAAATAAGCCTTTTATTAAAAGAAGAGTGTATTTTAAGTAAAAAGAATCGGTAAAGTGTACGAGGAACTAGTAATCGTAAATTGCTGTCAATGTTCTGAATGCATATCGGTTGTTATTTTTCGTCAACATTTTCCCAGCTATCTTTTTAAATCCCTTAAACACGAGCTGTCTTTGATAACATACCTATGGTAAATATCAGTATGCTCTCTTAAGTTCCTCTTAAAGTGTCTTTTGAAGGTACAGGATACACGTACATGTACATGCACGTGACATACAAACACTTGTGTAATACACGAAGCAAAATAAGGTATAATGTGTTATGTCCTATCATCTAATTGTTTTTTTAAATATTTTTCTGATTGCAAAGGGTGAACAGCACCGATTTGCATATTTCTACTTTTTATCCCAAAATACTGGGCGACGTACAGCTAGTTGACCATGAGTTTGGTTCCTGACGAAATGATAACTTGTAAAATTGCTAGTAAGTGTGGACAATTGACCACTAACTTCTTGCTTGCCGAAATACTATGTTGTAAAATGTAAATGTATTAAGAATGTTTACATAGAAATACGATCGATATCTTGTGGAAATCCGCCCCTTTTTCCTTATTTGTGACACAATTATGCGGCATTTTAGGCACCTTCAAGAAGATTTATAATAACCTAAATGGTTTGTCCTAGCTGTCTTAATTTTTAGCCTCGGTCCAAAATGCAAAAATATCACTAAAATATCTGCTATCATGTCATCTTATCATCAGCTACCATAATAGCACTATCATGACCCTGATACCTATGGTAAATATCCCCCGTCATAACCTATGGAACTAACTCCATCTGTATGTCTCGTAAAAATATAAAAGGCCTGGATACATTACAAAACAAACAGGTCACAAGATTCANATAACCTATGGAACTAACTCTATCTGTATGTCTCGTAAAAATATAAAAGACCTGGATACATTACAAAACAAACAGGTCACAAGATTCATGGGTTTATCTTCGCGATCTCATACCTCTGCTCTCCTAGAAGCCTTACATGTTCCGAAAATTAGTTACACTATATCTAGAAATGTGGAATCACTTTACCGCAGGGTAATGAGAGTTGACACACCATATCTTAAACTTTTAACTAATCAGCTGTCTCATTTTATGCTTAATCGTTCCATAGTGCAGGGGTCGTTGCTCCAGAGGATTGTTTCCTACGGTATGAACCCGATCTTATGTCTGAGTGGGTCGGGAATCCGGAATGCTGGCCCGGACCTGCATGCACCGGCAGGACTGGTTGATACGCTGAGATTTTTGGTAAACAGCCCCAGCTATCAGAACAGACTCTCAAAAGAATATGTGCTGGCGGGACTGCTCTTAAAATCGTTTTAATTACTGTTTTTATTATATTATTTTACACATATATTAATTTTTTTACTCATCTTTTAAGGTGGTTTTAGTAATAAATAAATAAATAATAAATACTCTCTGATCATCACAATATTAATCATTTATCGGTGCTACCGTTTATGTACAAATGTAAATAGCTGATAACGAGCTTAGATAGACATGAAATTAAAAAGTTTCAAAGATATATCCAGGCTTCATGTGGTTTTCTAGCACTCACCACTGGGTCGAATACATTCATAACCCCCGTTAGAAGGTTGACACATAATTGGTTGTCCTAGTTCTTTTTCTGGGCATGGGTTCGGATCACAAGGATCTTGAAAACATAAGAAATACACGTGATGCCAAATGTTTAATTATTTATATATACCAGCTCATTACCATAATTCATTACCAATTGAAAAAATAATAAAATCTAATACTAATAGAAACTGCAGAGATCACAACGTTTCGGCCTTATTGCAAGGTTTTCTTCAGGTCAACTGATGTTGAGATGGTTAAGGTGACGCGTGGTGACGTTCTGCCCTTGACCTTGTAGACGACCTTGCGATCAGGTCGAGACGTCGTGATCTCCATCTCCACGTAAGAATTCAGATTTATTTTCTCATTTTCTCAGATTCATTTGACTTGATGGATCAAAATATTCACCTGATCTCATTTGCAGTTCCATTATCTTTTCATAGTTATAACAAACCAAATTCATTCTTTAAATAATATACATTTCCTACATATGCAATCTTTTATCCAGCTACTTGATACAAAAAGTAACTAAACCGTATCCTTTTATCCGTTTTTCTCCAAGATGAACATGTGCACGCACTCTTTAAGCCGGTGCATATGTACTCACCTTTTATCGCCTTTGTGATTGTTGGGGAGGGCATAGCGGTGGTACTGGCACTGGAAGTTGGTAATGCTCCACACTTGTCTCCACTGTAACCAGCCGGACAAATACACGTGTATCCGTCCACTTTATCCACACAAGTACCATAATTTAAGCACGGGTTGGAGGAACATTCATCAATGTCTATGAGACAGGTGGGTCCCGAATATCCAGCCGGACAGAGACAAGTAAAACTGTCGATTCCGTCGAGACACAGTCCTTTGCTGCAGGGGTTAGACGCACATTCATTGACGTCTGTCTGGCAGTTAGTCCCTGTATAACCGCCTGGACAGTTACACGTGTATCCGTTTACACCATCCAAGCAGGTACCTCCGCTACCACAGGGATTAGATGAACATTCATCGACATTGGATTCACAATGCAAACCAATATATCCTGCTAAACAATTGCATTTGTACCTATCGATATCGTTGATGCAAGTTGCGCCGTTCTTGCAAGGGTTGGAGGCACATTCGTTTATGTTGATTTCGCACGTGGGACCAGCAAAACCAGAGCCACACATACAAGTGAAACTGTTTATACCATCGAAACAAAGACCATTTTTACACGGATTAGAGGCACACTCAAAGATATCAGTCTCACAGTTTGATCCGGTAAATCCGGACGGGCAGCTGCAGCTGTATCCATTGATTGCATTTTTGCAACTGCCGCCATTTTGGCAAGGGTTTGATTCGCACTCATCGACGTTAGTTTCACAGATATAGCCTGAAAATCCTGCGAGACACGTGCATGTATACTCATTCACACCATCCGAACACATTGCTCCATTCTGACATGGGTTGGACGCACATTCATTTATATCGATTTCGCATAAAGAACCAGCATACCCATCCAGACATACACAGTTATACCTGTTAACGCCATCTACACATGTTGCTCCGTTCTGACACGGGTCAGATGCGCATTCGTTGATATTGGTTTCACATGTAGGGTCGGTAAAACCAGGTTTGCATGAACATGTGAATCCATTTACACCATCAATACATGTTGCGCCGTTCTTGCAAGGGTTAGATGCACATTCGTTGATATTGGTTTCGCATGTACGGCCGGCAAATCCACGTTTGCATGCACATGTATACTCATTTACACCATCGATACACGTTGCATCATTCTTACAAGGGTTGGACGCACATTCGTCAACATTGGTTTCGCATGTTGGGCCGACAAATCCACTTTTGCAGGAGCAAGCAAATCCATCCACACCATCAACACACGTTGCACCATTCTTACAAGGATAAGACTCACATTCGTCAACATTGGTTTTGCACATTGGGTCGGTAAAACCAGGTTTGCATGAACATGTGAATCCATTTACACCATCAATACATGTTGCACCATTCATGCAAGGGTTAGACGCACATTCGTTAACATTTGTTTGGCATGTAAGGCCGGCAAATCCAGTTTTGCAGGCACACGTGTATTCATTCACACCATCAATACACGTTGCACCATTATTGCAAGGGTTAGATGCACATTCGTCAACATTGGTCTGGCATTCATGGCCAGTATACCCTCTTTGGCAGGAACACGTATAGCCGTTGATCTCATCTTTACATAAACCGTTGTGTTGACAAGGTATAGATGCGCACTCATCAATGGCAACCTCACACAACAGACCGGTCCATCCACCACGGCAAGTACAATTGTAGCCATTAACAGCATCATTGCACTGCCCGCCGTTCATACAAGAAGTAGAAGAGCATTCGTCTATGTCTGTCTCACAGACCAAACCCGTATACCCCGCCACACAATCACATTTGAATTCGTTGACTTTATCAGTACAAAAGCCGCCATTTTTGCAAGGTTGAGAGGCACATTCGTCTATATTCGTTTCACACTGGACACCGGTAAACCCAACTGGACAGGTGCATTTGAATCCATTGACTCTGTCCACACATCCACCGCCATTTTTGCAAGGGCCAGAGGCACACTCGTCAATGTTTGTTTCACAACGTTTGCCAGTGAAACCAGCCGGACAGATGCACGTGTATCCATTTACTGCATCTTTGCAAAGTCCTTTGAGACATGGGTTCGAGGAACATTCATTTATATTCACATTGCAAGTTGAACCAGAAAATCCCGATATGCATGAACAAACGAATCCATTGACTTCATCTGTGCATACGGCGCCATTTTTGCAAGGTTGGGAAGCACACTCGTCTATGTTCGTTTCACACTGGGCACCGGTGAACCCATGATCACAATGACATGCGTATGCAGCTTCTAAGTCGCGGCAAGTGCCATGTTTACACGGATTCGATGCACACTCGTTAATGTTTGTCTTGCAGTGGTTCCCAGTGAAACCAAGATTACAGATGCAAACGTGCTTATTTACACCGTCTAAACATCTTCCGTTTTTACCGCATGGGTTAGGATCACAATCGTTAATGTTTATTTCACATTTTCTTCCAGTGAAGCCAGTTGGACAAGAACATTTATATCCGTTCGCAGTGTTTGTACATTTACCGCCATTTTGACATGTGGATCTATAGCACTCTGGAATGGATGGAAATTGACCGTTAGATATGTGATATTATCATATATCGGCTCCGTTTATGATAGATTACATGTATGTAGACGTCTAAATCCCCATTTACTTAATAACTAGCTTTCCAGGATATTGCTGTTACCATGCCAAAAAATAAAGGTATGTATATAACTCGCCTCTGTTTAACTTGCTCGGATGTTCATAAAAAAAACTTTTAAAGCGTTAATGAAGTAAAAAAAATATTGATTTGATGTTTATCCACAAAAATACTGTTAAAGCATTTTGAAGCCAAAACATTTTGATTTAATTACTGCGCATGGGAGACGTAAGCAATCTATACAGTTTATTTCTTTGAAGGTTAGCTTTATTCACAAAGAATATATCAACATAAACTGTTACAGATTTAAACCAAAAGAATTGCATTTACCGTTACGCACACACGTCGGTGCCGACCCACTCCAATTAGCTGAGGATCCTTGAACCTCACACCTTCGATCGAGATTCCCAGCAATTACTGTGTAGCCGTAGTAACATCTGTAGATGATGCTTTCTCCTACGTTGTTTCGGGCTTGTAGCGTCATGGTTTTAGATGGGCTTGAAGGCATCGTGCATTCTGAGTAGTGGAAAATATCATATTTTTTAAAAAATTGCATCATGATATTAATATAATATCCCCTTTTGTATTAAAATTTTTGTTGTTCATTTTTGAACAATGCTAAGATTAGAAACAGTCACCTTTAATTATTTGGGGTCTTTTGTTTTGCACAATAACTTAAATTATGCCTACGTCTCTTTTCACAGTTGACGCCACCAAAGCCAGCAGGACATTCACACGTATAACCAGTGTTCTCTGCGGAACCCGAATTCCCCTTCGGTTTAAACAAAGCCGCCCACCCCGAGATCAAGCTGTTTGTACTCCGTTTGCGTCTTTTATTATCAGTCTCCTTGCATTTTCCGCCGTTTTTGCAGGGGTTTGCAGAACAAACCGTTGCTGTAGATGTTGGTCCTACACTTAATGTACTTTCTGTGAAAGGAACAAAAACATTCAGTCACATGTGGATTAGAGAATTGCGGTTTCGGTGTTTTCTGGTTCATAGGCGTTTTATTTTAATTGTATTTAAACAAAATAAAACTCGTCCTTAAAACCACTCAGAAAAGAAAATAAACAAAAACGTCATATTTACCTGCCCGCTTCTCGCAAACAAACCGTCGTGAATCCTCGCAGTCATCGTCTCGTATTTTTGAAGTGCTGGTTGTTGTTATATACCCACATGTGCTTCTTCTTGCTGAAATTACACGAGGGCATTTTTTTCATTTTGAGAATACGTTAATTAGTGTTAAAATGTTCTGAAAAGTATAAAAAAGTATTTGTAGTGTCAATTTCTCACTAACTCACCGAAGCATTTTTGTAGAGGAAAAGGAAAATCAAGTCTAAATGAGAAGAAACTGTCATTTATGTGTATTTTAAGACCAATACTGTTACATTGGCACTGCCAGTGGGTTACATATGCGAGTCCTGGTCCACAGTGGGAAACAAATACATCACAAATGTAATGGAATACTCACTAATCTTACACTTGTCGTTAGAAATGGCCAGATATCTGTAGTAAGTCCCCGTCACAGAACTGAAAATCAAAGACCAAGCCTTCAGCCAAGATGAAGATCATACATGTACAAATGCTTAAAGAAATATTCAGTTCTAATCTATATGCTACATGATCTACGGTATATTCCAGGTGATATCCTTCTTCGACTGCGTCCTAGGTCACAGTCTAAATTTGCCCTACCCTCTACCAGGGTGGCAGATTATATAGGGAAAAATGAAAAAAAAAAAAAAACACCCTGTGACTTTTGGCATAATGGAAGCAATGAAATTCGCCTCACGCAGATGGCATTGCACCCGCTCTACAGAGCTTCGCTTTCTGTCGATGTGATAACTGCTCGTTACGCAACCTGTCTATTATAAGGCTCTGCTGTCTGCTATACTCACGTGGTTGGAAGGGGTTGGAGGAATGACCGTCTAACGATTAATTACTGGAGGTATTGTCTTTTTGATGCAATGATATAGACTCCGCTTAGTCTTTTATATGACTTACTTGTTTCGGACTTCTTGAAAAACGTCTCCCTCAGTTATGAAGTGCTATAGATTGGTGGTCGTGGGTATAGAACTACGAAGTGCAACATCGACGTTCTACGTGCGTTTGTCGTACAACTTAAGTTTGATTTCATAATATCATTATCAGTGGTGTATTGATTCTCTTTTATTTACTTTAGTACTTTTTATAAAATTTTTTACTGCACCAGTACTTCTACCTCTACAACTACTACAGGGGATTCCTCTGCCTGAAGTAACAAGCTATTCATAAGGAGCTATTTTTATCTGTCACGGAAGAGCGATTGATTATGGTCAGAGCAATTAACTGTCTTGATTGCTGTCAAGAGGTCTTAGCTTCGACCTGTCAAGTGGCAATGCCTGAGCAGTTATGCAATCAATTACCAGCCATGTAATCAGCCTTGAGATTTAACCACAGGGCGACACAGAGCCAAATGACTATGTATCTACCTGTAGGAACAGATCTGTGAATATCTGTGAAAAATCAACATGTCGCCCTGGTAGAGGGTAAATTTGCGCTATCCTCCATCGTTATGTGCGCTCTGTATGCATAACTTCTCTAGAGCGTGATATAGGGTCACTTTATTCGGTTTTAGGGGTGTTTTAGGATGAAATGACTGTATTTTTTCTCGGTATGCATCTCAAATAATACATGTACACTGTCACACTCTCGCGATATATGCCATGAACACCTCTCGCTGACGCTCGAGGTGTTATGGTATATATCGCTCGGGTGACAGTGTATTATCTCACACGTAATAGAACTTTGGGATGTCCAATCGGTTAAGTTAATAACCTATTCCGAGATATGACTCGAACATTTTCGTTTATTGTCTTCCCTGTTGTCTCAGTTCGTGATTCAGGATCCAGGATATTGTTGCTGGTATTGGGGGTTGGGGGGGGGGGAGGTTTAGAATAGTTCAAAGGCGAGGTCAGCGGTACTTCCATCTGTATGGCTCAATGTTGGGGAAATTGTTTGGATATGACTCTTTTCTCTTGTGGTGTTTTTATTTACTAATTTATTTATTATTATTATTTTTGGGTTTTGGGTTGGAGACGGCTTTACTTTGTACGAAAGATACAAGCAGAGCTATGTGGGGAGGGCATGTGACTCTGATCACTGTGCCCCTTAATGGATCTATTTTTATTTATTTTGACTGCAAAAATAAAGTGCAAAAAAGGTACAATCGAGTAATATATTATTGCACAGTATAACCTTTCACTAAGCCGTCACTTAACTAGATAATTCATGTCTATAAACAAGATAATTCATGTATATACTGTACCTTGATACAGTGTATGAATCCCCAATACCTTCCGAAATTCGCTGTTAGATGTACACACTTTTCTAAATAAAGTGAAATATATATATATATATATATATATATATATATATGACAAAAATAAATAAAAAACAGCAGTTATTTATTTGGGGTAAAATAACTGCTGTTTTTTATTTCTTTTTGTCACGTACATATACCTGTATATATAGACTCGTAGACTCGTATAGGAAAAACACTTTTACTTTCAATATATATATATATGTTTGTGTGTGTGTGTAAAGCAACATAACTTGGTTAACAGGCAGTTTAATTATGCATAGTTACCTGGGTTTACATGTAAATGAAGATCTTCTGACAGTATAGCCAACCCACGCTTCTCCTGCGTTCTTTATCATATCAAACAAAAAATTCTTCTCGCCATTACTGTCAACCACGGCGAGGGTTCCCCCATAACGCTGGCAGACCTTCTGAGCCACTGTCCATGTCTGTCTGGTGCAGAATAGTCTATAAAGCGTGCGAGGACTGCCTCTTGGATACTCAACCCACCGAGAGTTTAAACATGAACCTGACAAAAGAGAAACATGTATGTTGTTTTGCCAATTTTTATGTGTGTATCTGAAATCTGCTTCACATTTATAAGATGATTCAGTAAACCGATATGAACTTTTGAGATTGTAGCATAAAGGCCTACATGTGCATATAAAATCACGCTAGTTTTCTTGTACCAGTCAAAATGCTAAGTTATAAAAACAATGTACGAAGAATGTCTACATAGAAATATGAATGCTACCTTGTGAATATCCGACGTTACCCCATGTAGCAAGGGTGATCGGAGAGAAAACTGTAAAAAACCAAAGGTGTAAAAGCATCTTCATCCTTGATGTCTTTTGTTCCCTTGGTGCATCAGGCAAGTGAGCTATCTCTCTAGGTGTCTTCAAAATATAAGGTGTGTTTCCATGTAGTGAAAAATGACTGTGCATGGCTTTGACATTATTTGATATCCAACAAACACTTGAGACCTTTTTTCCTAATTAACATTAAGTTGAAACAAATTTAGTATGTTAAACATCGCGACCTGAACCATACATGTGGCCCTGTTTTTCTTAATTCTGTGGCGAACCAGGATCGCACTAAGAACAGCCCACTTTGAATGTTTGTGTGGAGAACTAGGTTAGGGCCAAAGCGTGTGCACGATAAGGGCGTAGGTGTTACCGTGGCATCGTCCATCTGTTATGAAAAGAAGACAAGTTGCTAAATATTACTTATGTCTTGATTACTGTAAATAAGTAAAAGCAGCGATTTATTGGGGCAGAACACCATACATTTTTTGAAATAAAATTGGGTTGCGAAATCAATTTTCCTACATTTTATTGAAATAAAATTGGATCGCTAATCCAGCATTTTCTCTCGTTTTCTCCGCCCATTAAACATTTTCTTTGATGTTTATTCATAACAACAATTTAAACGTATATTTTAGATCAGTTATATAATGTCTTTCCATCCGAAATTAATTTAGCGCCTTCTTTTGATGACTTATAATTGAATCCTGGTGCGCTTCACATTGTCCCCGATTAATCTGTTTATTTATTTAGGCATTTCAGATGCAAAATAAACGGCATACAGTTATTGTGTTAAAAACATGGTTTATCTCTGATGACATATCTACTTTAATAGTTGGATTACGGCTACATAGTCGTTTATAACCACTTGAGTTTGCAAAATTTTGCCTATCAGGAAACAAGAAAGGGACACACCACAAAGCTTATATAATCTGGGTATTTCGTAAATCTGGCAGTTTTCTACCGCAAAACCTGTTGAATTTATTGAAAAAAAGCTAACCAACAGCACGTGTGTATGACAATGATATGATAAATGACACACATGCAGAAGGTTCGAATTCGTTTGTCAAAAGTTTTAAAAGCCGCAATATCACCGCTTTACTTGTGTTGTTTTTGTTAGTGTTATTTCCAGTACCTGATTATAAAATTATAAACTATTCTACGTATTCTTATCAATTAGTCACTGGTTCTATTTACAGAGAAACAACGGCTGAACTAAAGGTCTGTATGATTGCGAGAAGTTTTCGTTTCATTGATAAGAGGGTAAATGCTACCATACACTTGGTGCTTATATCCTCTGCATGAGTAGACCATTTTGGTGAGTCCACGCTGATTCAGTTTCATGAGTGACACCTTACGGAGACCCATGCAGAAACTACTGCATAGGGCGAAAAAATCAAAGCAAAAACGATGCTGTAAAAGTAAAAGAAAAGACAGCCCTTAAAACACTTCAGCAGACATTTACTTTTAAATCAAAAGTGTCAGATTGCTGAAAAGGCTAAATGAATGTGTTAAACAATATACCATTCATTGTCTAACTTTTACACCGCCTGTGCATCGTTTTATTTGTACTCAGTGAATGTAAAAAGCTCGCAATAATGGGGAAACATGCAGCGTTTTGCTGTGACTTAATTTAATGCAAAGGTGAGACACTTACGCGTATACCCAAATGTGTTATATGTATCGAACGGTTAACGTAGACCGAACACCTTATCGTCATACACCCCTAGACAGAGATCATAGGCCATCATCAGTGAAAGGAAATGTTGTGAAATGTTGATAGTTTTATCGCTATTTGATTGGGTTGGTGTCGGTAATGTTATCAAAGCTGATGAGTGTCTGTTATTTGTTGCACGATCCTCTAAACGCAGTTATTCATCTATTCCTATTTATCGTCTTTTATTTACCGTCTGTTTATTTTAGGTAAATCGCTGTAAATGACGGTCCCTGTTTTACAGGAATAGAAGCAGGAGCCGCGGCAGCCAGTGGTGGAGCCACCGGCATGAGACCCCAAGAGTTCAAGGCGGATCTTCCTTTTATGTGAGTTGCCTATGCTTATACATTGCAACGAGGAATATAAACGCCGATATTGTATACTTTCGGGGATATTTTTATTGTTTTAAATCACAACAATGACAGATGCATTACTGAATAATTAGATGGAGGAAAACGTCATTTTCCGCATCGATGACGATAAAGGGTTTCAACATCCTTGATGCGATCTCTCTAACGTTTCTGCCTGCAAAGTTACAAAGTTTACACTCTCTCAAACAGGTACCATACAGAGGAGTGTACCGTTCGGGGTGAAAAGGGTCTTTAACTCTGCCAATATTTTAACCAATCAAACTGCCAGACTTGACGTTACAGTTTTGACCTGTGTAGCCAGGGTCACAGTCATATCTATAACCGTTTACCAAGTCCATGCATACTCCATTCCAGCATGGCCAGCTGTCGCATTCGATCACATCAATAGGCCAATCACACTTAAGCCCGACTAACCCCGCTTGGCAGCGACACACGTAACCGAAATAAGGAAATCCGTCACATTTGCCTCCGTTCTGAACGGCATCGATTGTACATTTCTACGTTTTATTCCAAAATACTGTGAGATAGCTCACCAAGAAATTGCTTCCTGTCCAATTGATAACTTGTAAAATTTTGACTGCGGACAGTGGATCACTAGCTTGCGTCTTGCCATAATGCTTATTTGTAAAAAAAAAATGGATTAGGAATGTTCACACAGAAATACCAACGATACCTTCCGAATATCCGCCCCTATTCCCTTCACCAAGGGCAATCGGACAGAAAACTGTGAAAAACCAAAGCTGTAAAGGTATCTTCATTCCTGATGTCTTCTGTTACACTGGTGCATCAGGCAATTGAGGTCTCTTTTTAAGTGACTTCCAAATCTAAGGTGCATTTCCACGTATCGAAAAATGACTGTACCTCTCTTGGACCTTAGATTTGATATCCAACAACGAACATTCAAGCCCTTTCTTTCGAATTAACATAAATGTTTTAGTATGTTCAACAAAGCACCATCTACATGGTTCGTGACCCCGTTGTTTTTATTCTCAGGCGAACCAGGGCCCCGTATCTCGAAAGCATCGCAATTTGCGGCCGTGCGCAAGCGTCTCGATTCCATAACTCGATTCCATAAGCAATACGCGCTGCTTTCGAGATCGCACTAAGAACAACCTACTTTGCATGTGTGTGTGTGTTAGGAACTACGGTAGGTGAAGGCCAAAGCGTGTGCACGATAAGGGCGTAGATGTCACCGTGGCATCATCCATCTGTTCAAAAAAGGCAAATTGCTATTGCTAAAGATCACGTCTATAATGATTATTGTAAAAAGGTAAAAGTGGCGATTTATTGGGGGTAGAAACACATACAATTTCTTAAAATAAAATAAGATTGAGGAATCAACAGTTCTCTACACTTATTAAAATAAAATTGTATCCCTCATTCAGCATTTTCCTTCATGTTCTTTGTTCAATGTAACTGCTTAATTTATTTTCATTTAGGCATTTGAAATACAAAATAAACGGCATATAGTTATCATATTGTGTTGAAAACATGGTATATCTCTGATGACAATGCCTACTTAAGCAATTGAATTACTTGAAAATACAAAATATTTTGGCAAAAGGAACAATTACCAAAAGCACCGGTCGTTTTGGCCAAAGACATCTACTTCAAAGGAATGTGGAACGCGTCATTCAATTCCATCCTGATCGAAGAATTGCCTTTTAAAACTAATGATCAGACGGTAGATAAGGTTTACAGCGGAACAATTATTTATAACAATCTGCTGCAAAAATTGTAATTTCTCTAGGTGATCATATCATTTAATAGTTCTTTTTTCTTCCTATATAAATACTTGCCCCATCTTTAATTGCATATTTTGGTAATTAATCATTTGAAATTTACATTTTATGAAACGATTATACTTATAATTATATTAAAATGATATTCAAAATTAAATTTGAAATATATATGTATCGAATTATTATTTTAAACGTCTTTGTGTATCACAATGAGTATTAAGAAAACACATTTATTCTGGTTTCAGACAAGTATCCCAATGATGAAAATGTTGGGGGAGAAATACCGCCACGGTATTGGTGCATCATGTAACTGTCAAATACTAGAACTACAGTATACCGGAAATATCAGCATGTTCGGCTTTCTCCCCAATTAACCCGACGGCCTTCTTCAGCTTGAGAGTGCAATCAACAACCTCGAGCTTAATTAACTACCTGGTAAAAAATCTGACCAAACGGCCCGTGGACATCTATCTGCCCCGATTTGAACTGAAGGGCGTTACAATGAAGCTTGCGGACCATCTGCAGAAACTTGGTATGACGGATATGTTTGTGGACGGGGAAGCAGACCTGAGTGGTATAGGCGGTGCTCCGGGACAATTGTTCATATCTACAGCTGTTCATCAAGCATATGTTAAAGTGGACGAAGAAGGTTAGTGAAGAAATTTACAGTTTCACTTATCATAAAACATCTTTCTATGAAAACATATCATTATTTCATTTTCGACTTTTCAAATCGTTAGATGACAGGATATAAAGCTTGAGAGTAAAACAGTGCACTGTACTGCTCCTTGGTATCATATCAGGTAAAAACATAATATAATATCGTATGCACACTGAAATTCGGACATTATCGTGGTGTATTGCTAAAATGTCGGTCAATTCCAAGTTCTTGTATTGAATGAAATTGATGATCTTTTTTGATAATAAAAAACAAATGAAACCTACGACCACAGGGCATTTTCAATTGCAGCACCCATTTAATGGAATGAACCACCCTCACACATTCGGACTATTGATAGTGTTGAGGTTTTTAAAATATTCTAATTCGCTGATGTTTAAACTTATATACATTATCTATCGTCTAACAACCCTCAACAACCCAAAACACTTTATCTTCAAATTTTATTTATAATTTACAAGGAGTCGATGTGCCTCTGCCTGTGTACAGACAAACCATATCACAAAAAAAGCCTTTGCTCCATCACCAGTCATGAGTGCACAGGTAGTTGCATGGTGCTCAAAAATTATTTTGAAAATATTAAAGTGTTGGCATAACATCGAATATCATATAATATATATTTATAATATAGGGTAAATTAATGTATAGTATGTATAATATTTTATTAAAATGATAGTTTATTTATTGTAATCAATTGCAGTACTGTCTAGTAATAACAGCAAATTCAAAGAAAATACAAATCACATTCAGCAAGTTTTTTTTTGCCTTCTCGTACGTTTTGACATCAGATTTTCTCGGTTTCTACCACAAATTAAAAAAAAACACTATGTCAAAAAACATCACTCCCCACAAGACCTGCGTGTTTTATGTCACTTTTTATATGCAACACACTGATACATTAAGGTGCTGGCGAATAAGAATACAGTAGATAAAGGGCTTTAAGATAAGATTTATATACATAACGTAAAGACTTAAGTTGATTTTATAGCTAGGTCAGAGTATGCCTGTACATGCATTCCTAAGAACAAACTCAGTGACGCCTGGCAGGTTGAAAAGGGAAGTCTATTATGTAAGTAACAGGTAGAGCGTTCAGTTGTTATTTCACTTAGTTTTTTAGATGTTGGTTTGTCTCAACTGGTGTAGGTAACACAGACACTTGTGAGTAGGTTTTTGCGAGCAAAAATCCCATCAAATCTCTCTCCTTCCCCCCTCTCTCTTTCTCTCTCACACGCACACAATCTCTCTCTCTCTCTCTCTCTCTCTCTCTCACACACGCACCCACGCCGGCAGATGATAAAAAAGTAAAAGGGGTGATCGTTTCTGTTTCAATTTTAATCGTTTTAAGAAACAATATAAATATGGCGATCATATTAAAGTATCTTATTAATTTCATATTCATTAGATAGAAAGAAATATTTAACCAGCCTGGCACTATGCAGACAACAGCAAAAACCAACAGGAAGAGCGTCTCTATCCGTCCCTTGAAAACAGACCATATAGAGTGCGAACTGGTCTGGGAAATGATTGTCCGCAACATTTCTAACGCTTTGCTGGTGCAAAGCATCATCAAAGGGATGAAACAGCCTATTGCGATTGCTGTGGCGTTTGTCACGTTTGCCTTGTTTTATCAAACTACCGGTTTGTTTGTCCTGTCAGGGGCAGTCGCATGTGTGACTTTGCTCGGTGGTGGCTTATTGAACGGGTATTACGGCATTAATCGAATATTCGCTGGGAGTCCTGCAAGCAAGCGTAAATTGTACACATACTTCAATATGCGTGTAGAGCGACAGTTCTGGGTTGCTGAATGTGATGACAAAATTATAGGCTGTGCTGGTATCCAAGAAGCATCGCCAACAAACGGTTTAGACGAGTCACCGGGAACTGTGGCCGAGTTGAGGTGGATGGTGGTAGAGGCAGAGTATAGACGGTTTGGAGCGGCCTCAGCTTTGCTTGGAAACGCTATTGAATTTTGCAAGACACGTGGTTACAAAGAACTCACCCTTGTGACATCCGAGGTTCAAAACAATGCTATTTGTTTTTATTTGAAGTATGGTTTTGAGGAAATTGGTCAATATACATTGGACAATTTGTTTCCGCTTTTCAGATTGAAAATGCACAAGTTTAGACTATATCTACAGCAAAGTACATAAATGAATGTACCCACCGTCCATCATTTTGTATTCCTTTTATAATGTGAGAAATGTTCATACACTGCTGATGAAACAGCAACCTGTTTGTGTTAAATATGTCATTTTTTGTCAATTTTGCATTCACCAGTGCAGCTATACTATTACCTAAAGCTATCCATATAGAGGGTGGCCCCCTGCCCCCCCCCCCCCCCCCCAAAAAAAAAAAAAAAAAAAAAAAAAAAAAAAAAACGAACCCTTTAAAATTTTTATTTAATCTTATAAAGGTCCATCAAAGTTCAAGAAATTTGCTGGACTAAAACTAATATGATCATTCCCCAAAGTTTCAGTTTTCTTGGTCGCGTTTCATAAAAAGTCAATTTGTTTAAAAAATGCTCCAAATAGCTTTAAATGCATTGAATGCACACCTGTATACGGCGCGAAAAAATTGCAAATTTTTCAAACACATTCCTCCTTCGGGATTTCACTGATTTTTGCTGTGATTGCTCCCCACAGTTCACCAAGCATTTGAGGGTTGTTCTGGTACACGTTATCCCTGAGAACCCCCCACAGGAAAAAAATGGAGAGGTGTTCAAGACCGGTGAATGCCATGCCCATTTAACATAACTCGACTTTGTAAATTTACACAACAGGGCGGCAGGGCACTGCTATAAATCTAGCATTATTTTAAATCATGTAAAAGGGTTTATATATGAAAACACGTGCAAATAATTTGATGGAACTCAGAATAGCAACTGAAACTCATATGCGCGGGTGACTTCTTTTAAAGTGATTGAAAGATGCCACGGATGTTGACGTCTTCAGCGAGAAAGCAATAACACGCAATACCAACTTCATTATTTATGTTTCAATTTTATCTTCGAATGCCGTCATGGGAAGCCCAGCAACGAAGGACTGCCAACGAATTAAGTAATATATATGACAGTGTCAAATCTCTATATATACTTTAGAAAAGTTAATTTCCTTGCCGACTATTACAACTTTCAGGAATTTTGTTACGTGTCCTTCATTGCAATTACAGTATAGCAAATATAACCCAAAGGTAACTTACATAATGTAAAGTAAAATGAAAATCAAACAGCGAGGTACCTGACCGAAAGTCCCACATGTGGATACCAAAATAATCTGTGCATGTTATTGCACAGAAATAATAATATATGGTTTTCCAAATTTGTAGCAATATCCATACATGTATAACAGGAGAAAAAAATGATACACCATATGCTTGTTAACAGTTCAGAGTAATTACATTAAGGATTATGATTACTTCATCACACTGCCAAATTCACTGCCAACAAAATAATCTGTGCATGTTCTTGCACAGAAATAATAATCTATGGTTTTCCAAATTTGTAGCAATATGTATAACAGGAGAAAAAATGATACACCATATGCTTGTTAACAGTTCAGAGTAATTACATTAAGGATTATGATTACTTCATCACACTGCCAAATTCACTGCCAACAGACAGAGAAAAAAGTGCTAATTGAATCGCAGAGTGGTATCGCTCTTCCCTGGTGCCTCGTGCAGTCTCCCCATGAAGAGAATGGTTTCAGTGATATTATCCCGTATCATGAACATAAAGGGATGATCCGCCTTGAACTCTTGGGGTCTCATGCCGGCGGCTCCTCCACTGGCTGTCGCGGCTCCTGCCTCTGTTCCTATAAAACAAGCACCGTTATTTACAGTGATTTACCGAATTTAAACAGACGATAAATAAGAGACGATAAAACGAATAGATGAATAACCGTAGTTAGAGGATCATGCATCAAATAGCACTCAATCATCAGTTGTGATAACATTGCTGACATCATACCGGTAGTGATAACACTATCAACATTTCAAAGCATCTCTTTTCACTATTGATGGCCTATGGTCAGTTTTGATAACATTGCTGACACCAACCAATTTAATAGTGATAACACTATCGACATTTCACAACACCTCCTTTCACCGATGATGGCCTATGATCTCTGCCTAGGGGTGTCTGACGATAAGGTATTCGTTCTAACCTCTTGATTTTAACACCTTTGGGTTCGCATAAGTGAATACAAGCTATTTCACATTTTGAATAAAATTAAGTCATAAACAAATGCTGCATTTTTTCCATTATTTCGAAAACTAAAGTACATTCATTGGATGCAAATGAAATGATGTACAGAATTTGTCAAAATTAAAGAATTGAAAAATATTGCCGAGATTGAAATTTTATTTAACACTTCTGCTCTGTCTTTTCAGTAGTCTGACACCAATAAAATGTCAATAAATTATGGATCAAAATAACGCAGTTTTCTGTATATATAATGGTTACATTATAATGAGTTTAATAATTTTGAAATGAATATTTATTCTTTATGATTAAGCACTTTGTATACATGTACTCGTTTAAAAATTAAGAGTCACCTGACTTACCTTCTTCGTCCACCTTAACATATGCTTGATGAACAGCTGTAGATATGAACAATTGTCCCGGAGCACCGCCTATACCACTCAGGTCTGCTTCCCCGTCCACAAACATATCCGTCATACCAAGTTTTTTCAAATGGTCCGCAAGCTTAATAGTAACGTCCTTAAGTTCAAATCGGGGCAGATAGACGTCCACGGGCCTCTTGGTCAGATTTTTCACCAGGGAGTTAAGCTCGAGGCTGTTGATTGCACTCTCAAGCTGAGGAAGACCGTCGGGTTCATTGGGGAGAAAGACGAACATGCTGACATTCCCGGTATATGGTAGTTCTAGTATTTGACAGTTCCATGTTGCACTAATACCGTGGCGGTATTTCTCCCCCAACATTTTCATCATTGGGATATTTGTCTGAAACCAGAATACGTGTGTTATCTTAAAAAATCCATTGTGATACATAAAAACTTTAAATATAATAACTTTCGATACATATATGTTGCCAATTTAATTATAGATATGCAATTTAGATATACATATAAAACCGTTTCATGAAATATATATATATTTAAATAGTTTCAGATAATTAATAACAAAAAAGGGGGTAAACTATTTAATGAAATCATCATTAAGAAAAAAATGCAAAGTTTGTAGCAGATTGTTATAAATAATTAATCCGCAGTAGACCTAACCTACCTCCTGGTCATTAGTTTTAAAAGGCAGTTCTTTGGTCAAGCTGGAATTGAATGACGCGTTCCACAATCCTTTGAAGTAGATGGCATTGGCCAAAACGAAGACGGTGCTTTTGGTAATTGTCCCTTTTGCCAGTAGATTTTTAATTTTATCTGCTGTTTGTCTTTCTACCCATTTATTGATATGTACGCGAGACCCTTCGGGATTTGCCGTGAAATCCACAGACTCGGGTTCTGCATTAAAATAGTCTCGCATGTCGCTAAGGAATGTTTGTCGAAATGGAAAACGTTTGCTCCCAAAGAACCTGTTGGCGGATTTCAACGTGTAGTTGTTGCTTGCATTATACAATTTAGCGTTAAGGTCGTGGAAAAGAACAGCAACGTTCTCGTTTTGGCTGAGTGTGTCGAATTTCATCGCGCGGTTTATCTGATCTTCAGTGGTGCCGTTAGTGCCCAGCTGTAGCATGGCCAAAGCGGTGGAGATGCTAATAGGTGAGAAAAATATGTCTTTAACATCTGGATCGGCGGTCAACTGCTTGTAAATACTGAACCCAAAGTCTGTGTTCAGTTCTGCTAGTTCCTTCACCGTCGCGCCAGTTGACATCACACAAAGGAGTGCCACAAAAATCGCAAAAGTGGACATTGTTATATACTGGGACAGAAATGTAATAATGAGTTGTGGCCAAGAATGACAGCAGTACTGGAGGAGCGACATTTATATGCATCCGTAATCAAACAAGGTCGATTAAATAGTTCATGACACTTGATAATCTATAAGTCTATCATTCTGTTTTAAGTTATATTACGCGACAGATGCCGCTGTGACAGCCTTCATATCTTATTATCAGTTTAACAGTTTAACTCTTCCAGCACTATACATTTGAAGATTATAGCCCGCTGAATCACTGCAGATAGTGCTGAAAATACGTGATTCGGATTAAAGGTATACAATAGGAAAAACGATTACTGCGGGCATATGAAAGATAAAATACACACCATATATTGCCAATGATCAGGGACAGTCAATGACAGCTACCCCTTGTACATTATTGTTAAAACGATAAAAAAAGTCACAGTTGCCGCATGTATCCGAGTGACAGCATCAATGTTTATATCAACAGCAGTACGATCTAAAGAACTACGGGTACCCGTGAAATGAGAACCAAAAATAATAGTTATAATAATAAATAAATAATAAAAAAAAAATAAATAATAATAATAATAATAATAATAATAATAAAATAAATAAATAAATAATGATAATAATGATAATATAATAAATAAATAGAATTACCTGCATAAATCAGTAACAAACAGCAGTATCTATCGACGTTTTTGAAGCACCGTTTAAGGCTACTTAAACACCAAATCCATCTTTTATGGAGATGTCAAGTGTGACTCTGAAATAATGGGGTGGTAATTATTATTTGGTGTACGTAAACAAAGTATACTAGTGCATAACTTATAATGCTGGTATCAGTATTTCAGCATATGGTGTATTTTGTATTACACCCATACCTTTGCTCTTAGTATGTATATTAAACAACGATTTTTACATCTCTCTGTGACAATGTTGGGCTGTGCTGGAGGGTTCCTCAAGGGGCGCCTGTTATAATAACCTGCTTAAATAACCTGTTTACAATGGTCTTTGAAAAACGCTTGGTGATAGTTTTCCCCTCATTCTGAAGGGAACTATTTGTCTTTGTTACATTGTACCAACAAAATACTAAGAACAACGTATCCTGTTTCCCGGTGGTAAGTCCTAGCTGGATGCGTTGGTCGTGACCTCTGTACAGGCACACTGGTCTGGGAATACCGCTGTGAGACTGTGCGGAGCGTTCTTTGCGATACAATACTCTGTCTGGGGATGTCTTTTCTTGCGCCATTCTGGGGCAACTAGAGCTACAGTGCTGTAACACAGTGCTTCGCTTAGTACGCTCACCGTAACATTCGCTTCGTATATATAAAATTTCAAAAAAATCTACAGTGGAAAGTGTTAATCATAGGATAGCGCTATCCAGTGTTGATGAATCTGGACCAAGATCGATAAGAAAACATAGAATTGTTTCACTTTTTGAAAAATTCTATAATCAGGTTTTGGAATTGACACACGTGTAAAGCAGTGATATTGGTTTATAAAGTCATTCTCAGACTAGAGAAACGATTTGTTTGTTTGTGAGTAGTGATTTTACGACGTAGAGGCATCTTTTTTACAGCATTAGTTTCTGGGTCTCCAGAGGATAAAATTAAATCAGGGTGGACTTATCACAATGGTCTTCTCCGAGGATAGCACCAAGTGCATAGCATCACTTACCCTCTCACCAATGGCACGAAAACTTCTCAAAATCAAACGGACGTTTGCTTCAGTCGTTGTCTCACTGTGAATTGCACGACAGACTAGTGGATGAGAATACACGGAACACAAGCAAGAAAAACACCACAAGTAAAGAGGTGATATTGGCTTTTAGATATTGACAATGTAAGGTAATATGCATATGGTGAAGGTTCGTTTTTCGATACATTAACAGGTTTTGCTGTAGAAAACTGCCAGATTTACGAAATACCCAGGTTTTGCGGTGTTTTAACTGAGTACAGAGAAGGTGACAGCAGTCAGTTCTGGTGTTCCTTATTCTGGGATATTCATTACTTGTTGGCTGGGATATTCATTACTTGTTGGCTGTGTAAGCGCCGATGTCAGTAGCGTTTACAAGGATTCAGCGCGTGACTTTCGTCTGCAGTCTTTACCTTTTAACGGTTATCAAGACATACGTGATCTTTAGCAATGGCAACTTGCCATTTTTGAACAGATGGATGATGCCACGGTAACACCTACACCCTTATCGTGCACACGCTTTGGCCTTCACCTAGTTCCCTACACACACGTGCAAAGTACTTTGTCCTTAGTGCGATCCTGGTTTGCCTGAGGAAAAAAAAAAAAAAAAAACAGGGCCACAAATCAGGTAGATGGTGCTTTGTTGAACATGTTAAAACCTTTACGTTAATTAGAAAAAAAGAGCTTGAATGTTTGGGGTTGGATATCAAATCTAATGTCCAAGACAGGTACAGTCATTTTTCGCTACGTGGAAATGCACCTTAGATTTGGAAGTCACTTGAAAAGATAGCTCACTTGCCTGATGCACCAGTGTAACAAAATACATCGAGAATGAAGATACTTTTACAGCTTTGGTTTTTGACAGTTTTCTGTCCGATTGCCCTCGGTGAAGGGAATAAGGGCGGATATTCGGAAGGTATCGTTGATATTTCTGTGTAAACATACCTAATGCATTTCTTTTTTTTTTTTACAAATAAGCATTTCGGCAAGCGGGTGGTCCACTGTCCAGAGTCACAATTTTACAAGTTATCAATTTGATAGGAAGCAATTTCTTGGTCAACTGTCTTACAGAATAAAATGTAGAAATATAAAACCGGTGCTGTTAAAAAAAATGTAATAACACCATTAGATAATAGCAAATAATGGTCCGAATACCTCAGTATGTTATTCTTCATGTATAGCACAATAGTGTTCATCTCACGTGTGTGTACATGTGACATTTCCTTTTAAAGATACTTTACGAAAGACTTCAGAAAGGATTTTTGCCATAGTTATCAGGGAAATAATATCAAAATCAGCTGAGGACTTAAAGAGACAGCTTGGAAAATGTTAGCGAAAAAAAAAACCCTATATAATCGGGACATTAAAAGCAATTTATAATTACTACATGCCGTTCTTCGTACACTTTAACGGTTTTATCAGTTAGAATACACGCACTTCTTTCAATAAAAGGCTGATTTGCAAGGGTGCTTTGACTGGGGTCGACTGAATGTTTTTGTCTCTTTCACAGAAAGCCCAGCCACCCACAAGGGGACCCACCGCCAAACCCGTGCCGACCCTTGCGCTAGTTCCCCCTGTCTTCACGGCGGACACTGTACCACACGACTCGATGGTACCTTCCAGTGCACGTGCCAAAAGGTGTGGACCGGTGCCCGCTGTGAGCGATGCCTGTGTCAGAACGGAGGTAGATGTGACTACAGTCCCAGTGTAGGTCACGTGTGTCGCTGCCAAGCTGGCTTCATCGGGACGAAATGTCAGTTTGAGGAAAATGAATGCGACAGCTACCCATGCTGGAATGGCATATGTATTGACTTGGTTAACGATTATAAATGTGCCTGTGACCCTGGCTACACAGGCAAAAACTGTGACGTCAAGTCGGGACCAACGAGTGTGCGTAACGGTAAATGGGGTGATCTTGTTTAAAGTCTGTAACAGTTACGTTGATATATTTGTTTTGAATAAATCATTCTTTATAGCCATAAAGCGTTTCGATTGATAACAACTTCCATCCACAGTAATGAAATCAAAATGATTTTGGCTTCATGAACGCTTTAACAGTATTTTTGTGGATAAATATCGAATCAAGATTTTTTTACTTCATAAACGCTTTTAAAAGTATTTTATATTAAAAACCAAGCGAGTGTAAATACGGAGAGTCATACACATTTATTTATTTTTGGCATGGTAACAGCAAGATCCAAGTTAGCTAGTTATTAAGTAAATACGGATTTCGACGCCTAGATAATCAGTCAAAAACAGAGATGCTATATTGTAATGTTACATATCTCACGGTCAATTTCCATCCATTCCAGAGTGCTATAGATCCCCCTGTCTTCACGGCGGACGCTGTACCACACAACTCGATGGAACTTTCCAGTGCATGTGCCAAAAGGTGTGGACCGGTGCCCGCTGTGAGCAATGCCTGTGTCAGAACGGAGGTAGATGTGACTACAGTTCCATTGACGGTCACGTGTGTCGCTGCCAAGCTGGGTTCATCGGAACGAAGTGTGAGACTGATGAGAACGAATGCGACAGCTACCCATGCTGGAATGGCATATGTATGGACTTGGTTAACGATTATAAATGTGACTGTGACCCTGGCTACACAGGCAGAAACTGTGACGTCAAGTCGGCGCCAACGAGTTTGCGTAACGGTAAATGGGGTGATCTTGGTTAAAATCTGTAACAGTTCAACTTCTAAAGACACTTAGAGAGTACATGTATATTTACCCTAGGTATCGGGGATGTGTTATCAAAACCAGCTCGTGTTTACAGGATTTAAAAAGACAGCTGAGAAAATGTTGCCGCAAAATAACAAGCGATATGCACTCAAAACATTGACAGCAATCTGTAATTACTAGTTTCTCGTACACTTCATCGGTTTTATAAGTTAAAATACACACACTTTTAAATAAAAAGCCGATTTGTAAGCGTGCCCTGACCAGGATCGACTGAACATTTTTTGTCTCTTTTACAGAAAGTACATCTACAGCAGCGCCATGTTCTGCAAATCCCTGCAAAAACGGCGGGCAATGCAAGGATACTGATTCTAGTGCTACCGGTACATATAAAAGTAACCTCGGTGACTACCAATGTATATGTCCTCCATTTTATACCGGCAAGCATTGTGGAACCCAAATCGATTTCTGTCAGTCCAACCCATGTCAGCATGGGTCCACATGTGCTCCGAAGCTTGGGGGCTACGTCTGCACCTGCCCGGCCACCCACACAGGAACCCAATGCCAAACCCGTGTCGACCCTTGCACCAGCTCCCCCTGTCTTCATGGCGGACGCTGTACCACACAACTCGATGGAACTTTCCACTGCACGTGCCAAAAGGTGTGGACCGGTGCCCGCTGTGAGCGATGCCTGTGTCAGAATGGTGGTAGATGTGACCACAGTCCCAGTGTAGGTCACGTGTGTCGCTGCCAAGCTGGGTTCATCGGGACGAAGTGTGAGACTGATGAGAACGAATGCGACAGCTACCCATGCTGGAATGGCATATGTATGGACTTGGTTAACGATTATAAATGTGACTGTGACCCTGGCTACACAGGCAAAGACTGTGACGTCAAGTCTGGCAGTTTGATTGGTTAACACTTTTTAGTATGGCATCAGTTTGAGGATTTTTCAACTTTGTAGCCATGCTGGCAGTAACATAAGAGGGATTGCATTAAGTGTATTGCAATCTTTATTGCCATCGCTGCCGAAAATTATGTTTTCCTGCTTTTGATAAATCAGTAATGCAGCTATCTTTGTTGTGATTTAAAGCAATAAAAATTCCCCGAAAATATAAAATGTCAACGTTTATATTTCTCTTTGCAATGTCGCAACTTTGGTTTAGATGTTTTGATGCAAACCAGACGTTCAAATAAATAAATAAATAAATAAATAAATAAATAAATAAATAAATAAACATAAAAAATAAATAAATTTTCCACAGAAAAAAATTACAAATTTTTGGCCCATTTGACCTTGATATAAACATCCAATGTCAGTGCTTATGTCGCACTGTCATAATCTCCACATGATTTTGTCCAGATTTCTATAGTAACTTCGGTTTCCGAGATAGTTAGCCTTAATAGCAATATTGATCACTTCTCTACGTTTGAAGACAATAAAAGTCTTTCGGTTTCCCTGGTGTTATTTTACAGGTATGCATACTGTATAGGTTAAAAAAAAGAGAAAAAACGTCAGCAACACGTTTGGAAAATGGTCTAAAATTGTTTAACTTGTCATCATAATATCAAACCAGCCGTTCAAAACAAATAAATTTCCCAAAGAAAATAATTTTTTAGAAAATGTTGGCCCGTATAACCTTGAAATATAGGTCTTATATCAATGGTACTGTCATAATCTCCGAATATTACATGGTCAGAAGTAACTTCGATTAATTCTTTAGGTTTGAGAAATATATATATATATATATATATATATATATATATATATATATATATATATATATATATATATATATATATATATATATATATATATATAGCTTAATGGTATAATAATAATAATCGCTCTTGTAAACCCTACATTTTTAATTTCTTACTTTTAAGATAGGAAGAAATGGTTCACCAGCTAATCCCTATGCAGACAACAAAGACCAATAACGGGAGCAACGTCCCTTGAAAAAAGGGTACGAAATGATAAAGGGGATTGTGGCGTGTGTTATTTTGTCTTGTTTTACCAAACTACTGATTTTTTTTTTTTTTTTTTTTTTTTTTTGTCATGTCAGGACAGTCTTAGTCGTCATTTTGTTCAGCTAGTTTACTGAACAGTTATTACGGTATAAATCGAATATTCGCTGCGAGTGCTGCAGGCAAGCCTAAATTGTACACATACTTCAAAATGCGCGTTAATAGACAGTTATGGGTTGCAGAATGCGATAACAAAATTATAGGCCGAGCTGGTATCCAAAAAACAACTGTCAACAGAAAATGAAAAAGATGGGACAACCGTATTGCTACTACAAGGTTACCACTTAATATGGAATATTATTTTGTGGCGAGTGAAATTTTCTACAAAATATTTAATTTCTCTCTAACTATTTTAAATCCAAAGCTGAGGTGTCACTCCATGTGTAGCCAGTTGTGTTACCTAATTACCACACAACTCTCGAAACAATAAATGCATGCACTTGCATGTTCCGTGATCAGAAATGTGAGGGGGGGGGGTCTAAGGGTGCAAGCAGGGGATGGTAACGTCTCTGGGGAGCATTTCATGTCGGTGCCCAGAACCAGTTGGTTTTTCTAGGAGGCAACCTCATCCAGGATTCCTACAGAGACATTCTACAGCAAACAATGCTCCGATTGGTAAGAGTCCTCTTCAGGAACAAGACGACTGCGCAACCCCCACATCGAGCCCGCAGAATCACTGTTTTTCTTCAAAACCAATGGCACGAAAACTTCTCAAAATCAAACGGACGTTTGCTTCAGTCATTGTCTCACTGTAAATTGCACGACAGACTAATGGATGAGAATACACGGAACACAAGCAAGAAAAACACCACAAGTAAAGAGGTGATATTGGCTTTTAGATATTTGACAATGTAAGGTAATATGCATATGGTGAAGGTTCGTTTTTCGATACATTAACAGGTTTTGCTGTAGAAAATTGCCAGATTTACGAAATACCCAGGTTTTGCGGTGTTTTAACTGAGTACAGAGAAGGTGACAGCAGTCAGTTCTGGTGTTCCTTATTCTGGGATATTCATTACTTGTTGGCTGGGATATTCATTACTTGTTGGCTGTGTAAGCGCCGATGTCAGTAGCGTTTACAAGGATTCAGCGCGTGACTTTCTTCTGCAGTCTTTACCTTTTAACGGTTATCAAGACATACGTGATCTTTAGCAATGGCAACTTGCCATTTTTGAACAGATGGATGATGCCACGGTAACACCTACGCCCTTATCGTGCACACGCTTTGGCCTTCACCTAGTTCCCTACACACACATGCAAAGTACTTTGTCCTTAGTGCGATCCTGGTTTGCCTGAGGAAAAAAAAAAAAAGAGCCACAAATCAGGTAGATGGTGCTTTGTTGAGCATGTTAAAACCTTTACGTTAATTAGAAAAAAAGAGCTTGAATGTTTGGGGTTGAATATCAAATCTAATGTCCAAGACAGGTGCAGTCATTTTTCGCTACGTGGAAATGCACCTTAGATTTGGAAGTCACTTGAAAAGATAGCTCACTTGCCTGATGCACCAGTGTAACAAAAGACATCAAGAATGAAGATACTTTTACAGCTTTGGCTTTTGACAGTTTTCTGTCCGATTGCCCTCGGTGAAGGGAATAAGGGCAGATATTCGGAAGGTATCGTTGTTATTTCTGTGTAAACATACCTAATGCATTTCTTTTTTTTTTTACAAATAATCATTTCGGCAAGCGGGTGGTCCACTGTCCAGAGTCACAATTTTACAAGTTATCAATTTGATAGGAAGCAATTTCTTGGTCAACTGTCGCACAGAATAAAACGTAGAAATATAAAATCGGTGCTGTTCAGAAAAATGAAATAACACCATTTGATAATAGCACATAATGGTCTAAATACCTCAGTATGTTATTCTTCATGTATAGCACAATAGTGTTCATCTCACGTGTATGTACATGTGACATATCCTTTTAAAGATACTTTACGAAAGACTTCAGAAAGGATGTTTGCCATAGTTATCAGGGAAATAATATCAAAATCATCTGAGGCCTCAAAGAGACAGCTTGGAAAATGTTAGCGAAAAAAAAACCTATGTATTCGGGACATTATACAGCAATTTATAATTACTACATGCCGTTCTTCGTACACTTTAACGGTTTTATCAGTTAGAATACACGCACTTCTTTCAATAAAAGGCTGATTTGCAAGGGTGCTTTGACTGGGGTCGACTGAATGTTTTTGTCTCTTTCACAGAAAGCCCAGCCACCCACAAGGGGACCCACCGCCAAACCCGTGCCGACCCTTGCGCTAGTTCCCCCTGTCTTCACGGCGGTTTCTGTACCACAAAACTCGAAGGGACCTTCCAGTGCACGTGCCAAAAGTTGTGGACCGGTGCCCGCTGTGAGCGATGCCTGTGTCAGAACGGAGGTCGATGTGACTACAGTCCCAGTGAAGGTAACGTGTGTCGCTGCCAAGCTGGTTTCATCGGGACGAAGTGTGATACTGAGGAAAACGAGTGCGACAGCTACCCATGCTGGAATGGCATATGTATTGACTTGGTTAACGATTATAAATGTGTCTGTGACCCTGGCTACACTGGTAAAGACTGTGATGTCCCGCCTGGCAGTTTGATTGGTTAACATACTTTTTTGTATGGCATCAGTTTGAGAATTTGTCAACTATGTAGCCATGCAGGCAGTAACGTAAGACAGATTACATTAAGTTTATTGTAACCTTTTATTATCATCGATACCGAAAATGAGGGTTTTCCTGTATCTAAAATCAGTAATGCATCTGTCTTTGTTGTGATTTACAACAATAAAAAATTTTCCCGAAAATATGAAAAATCGGCGTTTATATTTCTCATTGCAATGTCACAATATTGGATTAAATGCATTTAATGCAAACCAGACGTTCAAATAAATAAATAATTAAAAATAGAAAATAAATCAATTTTCCACAGAAAAAATACAAATGTTTGGCTCATCTGACCTTGAAATATTGATCAAATGTCAATGCTTATGTCGTGCTGTGGCGTTTGTTATTCTGCATTGTTTTATCAATCTGCTGATTTATTTGTCCTGTCAGGGCAGTCTTAGTCGTTAGTTTGTTCATTTATTGAGGCAAGCTTAAATAGCACACATACTGGAATGTGCGTGCTGAGCGACAGATTTGGGTTGCACAATTTATGCAAAAACAAAATTATAGGCTGAGCTGGTATCAAAAAGCCTTCCCCTACATATCAATTAGACTATAGTCACAACGCAATGGAATTTTGCGAGGCACGTGGTTACAAACAACTCACCCTAAGAGGTTCCAAAGATCAAAACCATGCTAAATGTTTAATTCCAATGTTGGTTTTGAGGAAGTTGTTCAATATACAATTTGTTCCCGCTTTTCAGATTGAAATGCACAAGTTTAAGACATAATCTTCAGCAAACTTGTTTTAATAAGTTAAAAATACATGTAACAGGTACCCATTATTGCGTTTCTTTTATGATAGAGAACTTCTCCAAGAACATAAAATAAAGCTGAAACAGCAACCTGTTTGGGCCAAATATGTTATTTTTTCTTACTTTTCCATTCAACATCGTAGCTATACTACTACCTTTAAACAAAGCATGATACTTAAAAGCCGAGATGGCTCGTATCATTCACAATGGCGAGACACCATTGATGAAAACTTACTAAACAAAGGCGAGACACCTTTGCTTACCAGCCCCTACGTCCCTAAATTTTCTTTTTTTTTATCTCGGACTCTGCAGCTGATGAAGGTCACTTGTTGACCGAAAAGCGCTTTCTGCAACCAGTCCACCCTTCCCCCTCCCCCGGAAAGGCGAGACGCCTCGATCGTGCCAATCACGAAATGCCCTTGTCAGGGCACCCTAAGTAGATCGGTATCTATAAATCTCATACTATGTAGGTGAGACACCTACCTTCCTATCAGAGACGATCTTTCCTCATAATAAAGGCGAGAAGCCTTACACACTCAAAAAGTCGCTCTCAACTATGCAAGGGGCGCTGTCAAAATACACGTCCTCAGAGGCCCAGCTCTGAATCGTGTTATTTTGGTAAAGTGGAATCTAACTAGGGCATGAGCCGACCACCCCCAACACGTCGAGCATAAGTCTGTCTTCACAGCAATCACTCAATATGTATCCAGAGAGCAGGAAAAACTACAACCACAACAACTTCAAACACAGCAGAGAAAACCTCCAGTGGCCGAAACCTAGACAACGGGATTCGCAAAAATGGCACAGAACGGGCCCACCTAAGAGCAGAATTCCCAAGCGCCCCGCACCGCTGAGTTCCCCACGCGCCTCTAGCAACCCGCACTACGAGGAGGTGAGGGAAACCAAGCAGTACACCACGGGCTGCACAGAATGGGCGAACCACATCAACCAACAACTTGAAAGGGGAGCGCACAAAGTCAGGGCCAGGGTAGACTTTAAAGGATGCCCTGGCCACGAAGCTCTCACCTCACAACTGATCGAAATCCAGGACAAGGCATCAGAAGCAATCAGACACACCATCGAACTTCACATAGATGACTTCTTGAAGAAAGCCAAAGAGAACCATGAAGAGGCCCTAGCCCGCGAATCCAAGGCAGAGGATTTCTTTAAGATACACGGGACGTACGAAATAAACGCAAGCCCACAACCGACTCCCAACACCAACCCAGATCTACTGGAACAGGTCCGCACCCTACTCCTTACGATGAAATCCAAAAAGAAAAAGATCGTCACATCCACGAAAGCAAAACGCCGCACAGCTGCCACCCTGAAACGCCTCAAATGAACGAGCAACACTAAATTAAAAACAGCCCTTTTCAGGGCTACACACATGCTCAGGAAAAGCTATACCAAAATGTTCATACTAAGAAACAAATAAACAACCAGCAAATAAAAGCACTCTTTTGTCCCCTCCCATGGGCGATAAACCCTCTCTATACTTTGAAAAAAAAACCATCAGAGAAGCGTGAAGCCCAAGTAAAGCTCATATATAAGAAAAGTTTGAAGATAAACAAGTCGGAGAAAACTCTCCCGGCTTTAACACAACCTGGGTCTTATTAACCAAAAGAAAAAGTAACACATCTGCTGTACCGTCTATCTCAAACCTTATTAAAAGCTACAAGCTATTAGGATGAAAATAACAAGCCCTTTGGCCGAAAACAAAGCAACAGAGGCTCCCCTAATATCGATACCACCCCCGATGACGAGGGGATAACCTCACACCTCAAATCCTAATCTCCAAATGAATTTCATCCAATCAGAAAAGACCATGAGTGTCGACCAATCAACGGACGCCCGAGACTATTTAGAAACCAGAGGGCAACCTGCTAAATCAGTGAAGACGTCGGTAGCGACCATCTACCTCTACACGTAAAAATCATACAGAACAATCGAATAGCAAGAGCACCAACCGTCTTACGACGGAATACAAGAAAAATAAACCAACCACTGTTTGACCATCTAATTTCTAAAAACCTAAATAGCGACGCAGTCACACCTACCACCACTGGAATAGACGAAGCCTGTGAGAATGTGACCGAGACACTAATGAATGCACTTGAAACCGCATGCCCAAAAACAAAGATACGAGAAAATGTATGGAGAGTAAGCGAGGACACCCTTAAGCTTATAAAACTGAAAAGAAAACTAAGACGACTGGCTCAAAAGAAAGAAGGCCCTTTCTATAAAATCATGTACAACTATATGACAAAACGGGTCAAAGAAGCCATCAAAAAAGAAAAACAAAAAGCTTGGGAAACCGCTACCTCTATGCTAAATGAAAGAAAAATGGACAAAACCTTCTGGGACATGTTTAAAAGGCTAACTAGCACTGGCAAAGCTAAAGAAACATCTGAAAAGCCTGTACTCAAAGAAAATGGGCAACTTACAACAAACGATGCGGAGAAAGCAAAGGNGCATGAGCCGACCACCCCCAACACCTTTAGCTATCCATATACGTTGTAATAACTCGACTTCGTAAATTTAAACAACAGTGCATTGCTTGAAATGTAGCTTTCTTCTAATGCCTTAAAATTATCATGGAGAAAACATCATAATTATTTTGCTGGAGCTCATAATAGCAACTGGAACTCATGGCCGTTAGGAAGTCTTCTTAAAAATGGGTTAAAAATCGGCAGGCGTCCTAATGTCTTTAAAGTGAAGTAAATAATTTATATTTCATTTTTATTGGACGATGAGAATATAACATAATTCAATTCGTTGACAGAAATCACTGAATGCCCTCTTGGGACCAGGGACCAAGGACTCTTAATAAATTTTGCAATGTACATGATTGATTTAGGCAAGTTCGCAACAAATACATTTTGCAACTATAACCATATGCCTCGAAATACATACAGTTCAGATGAATAACAATATGGACTATAAAAACCTTATCACACTGCCAAATACACTGTCTACAGACAAAGAAAAAAATGGAACAACCGTATTGCTGCTAATTAAATCTCAGAACTATAATAGTCTTCCCTGGTGCCCCAGAAAGTGAATGGTATCAGTGTTATTTTCCCGTACCATGAACATTTATAAGGATGGTATGCTTTGAATTCCACAGGCTTCATTGCAGACGGACCTCCCGTGGCTGTTGCTGCTCCTCCCTCGGTTCCTGCAAAATGCATTATTTTTATTTCTTTATCCTAGTATATACAGACGGTAAGCTAATGCATGGATTAAAGAGAGAGAGCAGTTCATCGTTGGTATTTATACTCATCAGCTTTGATAACATTGCTGACACCAACCAGTTCAATTAGCGATAGCTCTATCAACATTTCACAGCATTTCCTTTCACTGATGATGGCCTATGATCTCTGTCTAGGGGTGTATGACGATAAGTTGCTCGTTCTACGATTGGGTGTTTCACCCTTACCCTTAGGATTTAATTAAGTCACAGCAAAAAGCTGTATGTTTTCCCATTATTACACTGAGGGCAAATAAAACGATGCATAGACGTAAAAAGGTAGACAATGAATAATATAATAATTTTTTAACACTTCCATTTTGCCTTTTCAGCAATCTGACACTTTTGATTTAGAAAAACGAACATATTTTAGAAAATTATGGAAGGTCGACAAAAACGGCGCAAATGCAAATGCATAAACATAAAACTTCAGGAGAATTACGACGGGGGTGGGGGTGAGGTATGTGGTGGCCCTATGGAGGATTAGTAGTATTCTCAGTTGTTTGTATTATACAGATGGCATGAGAACCAACTCTTTAATATTTCTCAGCGCGAAGAAAGACTACCTGTATTTTGCTTTATACACTGAGGCAATAAAAGTGTCACCCCCTGAATCAGAGTAATCAAATACTAATCAAGGAATCAATAATCAATGTAGGCAGATCTTGAGTAGTTATAATGCCTGGCCTACATTTTTTTTTTTTTTTTTTTGAAATTTGATGTTAATAAAATGATACCAGGAGCATATCATTCCACAGTCATTTATCTCCCCCAAAGTATTGGTACAGTAGGGGTGACACTTCTGTTGTCCAGTGTGCAGATGTTAATTCTCAGCGCTGCCTTTTTAATTACTTATGCAGCATCGCTTTTGCTGATTTTTTTCGCCCTTTGGCAGTAATTTCTGGGTCTCCGGAGGATGACACTCATGAAACTAAATCAGTGTGGACTCCGCAAAATCGTTTACTAAGAGGATAGCACTAAGTGTATGGCAGCATTTACCCTCTCATCAATGGCACAAAAAACTTCTCGCATCCACATATCGGTTTAGTTTAACATTTATCTCTATATAAATTGCACCATATAAAAAAACATAGCATTACTTTAATTTTTGAGCAATTTGATAATCAGCTATTGGGGAAAAACACACGTGTTAAGCAGTGATATATATATATATATATATATATATATATATATATAGTCTTAAAGTGACCTTATAAACCAATATATATATATATATATATATATATATTGGTTTATAAGGTCACTTTAAGACTAGGGTACCGATTTTTTTGTTTGTGAGTAAGGATTTCACGATACAAAAACATCGTTTTTGCTCTATTAGGCCCTCTCGCTTTGGTTTTTGGCTCTCCAGAGGATAATATTAAATCGGTGCGCACTTATCAGAGTTGTCTTTTCAGAGGATAGCACCAAGTACATAGACTTGTTTTAATATTAAAAAAAATAAAACAACAACAACGCAAGTGAAGCTGGGATATGGTTTTTAGATTTTATGACAAAGTAAAAAAGAAAAACATGCCGAAGGCTCGTTTTCTGATAAATACAGCAGGTTTTGCGGTAGAAATCTGCGAGATTTACAAAAAAAAAACAGGTTTTTGTAGGATTTTAACTGCATGAGTACAGAACGTGACAGCAGTCAGTTCAGGTGTTCCTTAATTGAGTTATATATTACTTGCTGGCTGGGAAAAAACATCGGTAAGCGCCGATGTCAGTAGCGTTATCAGGGCTATCAGCGCGGGAACATCCTTTCTGTAGTCTTTGCTAACATCATGCCTCCTTTGAGCCTCTAACAGTTTCACGGTCGCTTTCAAGTGAAAGGCGTTTTTTTATTTTTTATTTTTTAGAAAATTTAGTTCATCGAATAACTTCGACATAATATAAGCTTCGTGGTGTATCCCTTTCTTGTTTCTTGATAGGCAAAAATTTTGCAAACTCAAGCGGTTAAAACGACTTTGTGGCCGTAGTTCAATTGTTAAAGGCAAAGTAGGCATTGCCATCAGAGATTGTAAAGCGCACCTGGATTTAATTTGATAGGGGAAAATTTTGCAAACTCAAGCGGTTAAAACGACTTTGTGGCCGTAGTTCAATTGTTAAAGGCAAAGTAGGCATTGTCATGATGTCAGCAAAAGAAGGCGCTAAATTCTGTTCGGATGGAGCAACATAAAATAACTGATCTAAAATATACGTTTACATTGTTATTATGAATAAATAACAAGAAAGAGTTTAGCTGATAATATAATGAAGGAAATACTGTATTAGGAAATTAAAAAAAATAATAATAAAATGTAGGAAAATGCTGATTTCGCAATCCAATTTTATATCAAGAAATTTATGGAATCCTGCCTCAATAAATCGAGACGTACGTAATATTTAACAACTTGCCTTCTTTTCATAACAGTTGGACGATGCCACGGTCACACCTACGCCATTATCGTGTACACGCTTTGGTCCACATCTAGTTCCCCTCACAGACATGCAAAGTAGGCTGTTCTTAGTGCGATCCTGGTTCGCCTCAGGACAAAAAAATCCACTGCCCGATATCAGATAAATAGTATTCTATTTCAAATAGTAATTTTGGTTAAGCTTTATGTTAATTAGAAATAAAGGATTAAACATTTGTTGGTGGATATCAAATAAGGTCAAAGACAGGTACGTCATTTTTTGCTACATGGAAACACACCTTAGATTTTGAAGACACCTAGAGAGATAGCTCACTTGCCCGATGAACCAAGGGAACAGAAGACATCAGGGATGGAAATACTTGTAAAGCTTTTGGTTTTTACAATTTTCTGTCCGATTTCCCTTGCTATATGGGGTAACGGCAGATTTTCACAAGGTAGCGTTCATATTTCTATATATACATTCCTCGTACCTGTACATTGTTTTTTTTATAACTAAGCGATCTGAAAAGAAACAGTCTAGTAGTCCACTGTCGTCAGTGGCAATTTAACAAGTTATCAGTTACTATTTTGGAAACTTGTGGCCAAGTGTCGCACAGTATTTTGTTGACAAAACCAAGAAATATACAGTTATTGGGTAATAGCACATAATGGTCTAAAATACCTTATGATATATGTTTTGCTACACGTACATGTAATACACATTACTTCGTATCGGACTTGTTTTTATGTGTGACACGTATGATGTACCTTCTCTAGACATTCAAAAAGAGACTTTAGAAAATATATTTACTATAGGTGTTGGGGAAGTGTTGCTTGTGCATGTTTACAGGAAATTAAAGAGGCAACTCGGAAAAAAATGGGTTACTGGTTCCACGAACACTCTATCGCTTCCATAAATTAAAATACACACCATTCTATAAACAAAAGATCTACATTCCTTTGTCGTCACTTGGCTTTTCATATGAAAAAAAGCAAATCCAAAAGAAAAAAGGAGAATATTACCTTTATTTCACATGCACATGTAGGCCTATGAGCAGATTTCAGGTACACACACACACACACACACACACAAAGGCAAGACAATAGCCAGTTATCTCTTCGTCAGGTTTATGTTCAAACTCCCAGTGGGTTGGGCATCCAAGAGGCAATCCTCGCTCTTTCTATAGACTACTCTGCAGCAGACAGACATGGGAAGAGGCTCAGAAAGCCTGCCAGCGTTATGGGGGATCCCTCGCCGTGGCTGACAGTAGTGACGAGAAGAATTTTTTGTTCGGTATGATAAAGGACGTGGGAGAAGCGTGGGTTGGTTTCAGGATCAGAAGATCGTCATTAACATGTAAACCCAGGTAACTATACACAATTAAACTGCCTGATTAACAAGTTATGTTGCTTTAGGGATATTGACTGGTATAAATATATTTTTTTCCACTTAAATGAGAAGCTTGTGTACGTCTAACAGCGAATTTCAGTTAAAGGCATAGGGGATCCATACGCTGTATCAAGGTACAGTAGCGACAGTAGCGACGGCTTAGTGAAAGGCTATATTGTGCAATATTATATAACATGAATGAAACTTTTTTGCATTATTCATTATTTATGATATTCGTCTTGGTTTAAAGTTTGTTCTTTGTTTTTGATTTTCAGTTCTGTGACTGGGACTTACTACAGATATCTGGCCATTTCTGACGACAAGTGTAAGATTAGTGAGTATTCCATTACATCAATGATATATTTGTTTCCCACTCGGGTCTTTTATTAATCCTTGTGGGCCATGACTTGCACATGTAACCCCGCGGACAGATCAATGTTGGTTTGAAAAGATAAATAAATAGCATATTTCTTCTCATTTGGAATTTTAAAATTTTCCATTTCCTCTGGAGCAAAAGCAGAATTTCAATGAGTTTGTGAGCATTTGACCGCACAAACATTTTTATTACATTTAAAAACATTTTGAACGTTATCAAAGTGTCCCCAAACTAAGATAAATCGTGTGATTTCAGGAAAAAGAAGCACGTGTGGGTATATAAAAACAACCGACACCTTAAACATACGAGACGATGACTGTGGGCAATCACGACGGTTTGTTTGCGAGAAGCGGGCAGGTAAATATGTTTTGCTTTCTTATCTGGATGTAGTTTAGGATCTGTTTTGTTTTATCTAAATAAGCTTAAACTTTGTCACACATAAATGCCAACGCAGATTAAAACCTCGGGAGATGATGTGGTGAGTACACTTACTTGGAATCTGCGTTGTTGTGCTAAGGTTGACGCACAAGGGAAAACGCCTTTGAAGCAGAGGGGGATTTTTTCAATTACCTTTATATTACGTCACGATATTTTCAAAATAAGTTATAAATTGGATGTAAAATAATTGAAATTTCAAAGTCTCGAGACATTCTCAGTTGTTGTACAAGTGTGTGTACGTGTACAATTCGATCCCAATGAGATTAATTTAATTGCACTGTATGTGACCAAATTATATACCTAATACTGTTAAGGTGTATTTTCAGTTAAGTTATGGCGACTTAATTCAACACCATAACATCTTATCGGGTACATTATTATAGTGGTTCTCCGTCCTCACTGCTGGATATAGTTTGCATTATTATCACTATAATCATAATGATTACGCGATCTCTTAATCCCGGTAGGCCTGACTGTTCCTTTGGTGTCAAAACCGTTCTTGCACGGTCTGGTATGCTTCGCTGGTGATCTAAAAGCACACCCTATCTGAGATCAATTGAATGATTTTGTCCTTTTTACAGTAAGTACAACTTCAAGACCAACATCTACAGCAACGCTCTGTTCTTCAAACCCCTGTAAAAACGGCGGAAAATGCAAGGAGGCTGATAATAAAAGAAGCCAATGGAGTAAAGGCAGCTTGATCCCGGGGCTGATCGTCGCTTTCTTTAAACCGAAGGGGAATGCGACTTCCGCAGAGAACACTGGTTATTCGTGTGAATGTCCTGCTGGCTTTCATGGCAGCAACTGTGAAAAGAGACGTAGGTATAGTTTATGTTATTGTGCAAACAAAATCAAAATATTTTTGGCTCTTTAAACGCTTTTAGATGATTTTTGTGGATAAATATCAAATGAAGATTTTTTACTTAATTAACGATTTTGAAGAGATTTTTATGAGTTTAACAGAGGAGAATCATATACATATATTTATTTTTGGTAAGGTAACAGCAATATCCTAGTTAGCTAGTTATTAAGTAAATACGGATTCAAAAACGAAGATGATATATGGTAGTATCACATATTTAAGGTACAATTTCCATCCATTCCAGAGTGCTATACATCCCCATGTCAAAATGGCGGTAAATGTACAAACACTGCGGATGGATATGAATGTTCTTGCCCAGCTGGGTTCACCGGTGTCCAATGTGAAACAAATATAGAGGAATGTACCTCCCAGCCTTGCAAAAATGGTGCCGTCTGCAAAGATAAAATCAATGGATTCGTTTGTGAATGCATAACGGGATTTTCCGGTTTAACTTGCAGTGTGAATGTAAATGAATGTTCCTCGAACCCATGTCCCAAAGGAATTTGCATAGATGCAGTAAATGGATACACGTGCATCTGTCCGGCAGGTTTCACTGGCAAACGTTGTGAAACAAACATCGACGAGTGTGCCTCTGGTCCTTGCAAAAATGGAGGTGGATGTGTCGACAGAGTCAATGGATTCATATGCACCTGCCCAGCTGGTTTTACCGGTGTCCAGTGTGAAACAAATATAGATGAATGTTCATCTAACCCTTGCATGAATGGTGCAACATGTATTGATGGTGTGAATGGATTTACATGTGGATGCAAACCTGGATTTGCCGGCCTTATCTGTGAAACTAACGTTGATGAGTGCAAATCAAACCCTTGCCAAAATGGCGGCAGTTGCAAAGATGCAATCAATAAATACATCTGCAATTGCCCGTCCGGTTTTACTGGATCAAACTGCGAGACTGATATCTATGAGTGTGCCTCTAATCCGTGTAAGAATGGTCTTTGTTTCGATGGTATAAACAGTCTCACTTGTATGTGTGTCTCTGGTTTTGCTGGTCCAACATGCGAAATCAACATAAACGAATGTGCCTCCAACCCTTGTAAGAACGGCGCAACTTGCACCGACGATATTGATAGGTACAAATGCAATTGTTTAGCGGGATATATTGGTTTGCATTGTGAAACCAATGTCGATGAATGTTCATCTAATCCATGTGGTAGCGGGGGTACCTGTCTGGATGGTGTAAACGGGTACACGTGCAACTGCCCAGTTGGTTATACAGGGACTAACTGTCAGACAAACGTCAATAAATGTGCGTCTAACCCCTGCAGCAAAGGACTGTGTCTCGACGGAATTGATAGTTTTACTTGTCTCTGTCCGGCTGGATATACGGGACCAACCTGCCTGATAGACATTGATGAATGTTCCTCCAACCCGTGCTTAAATGATGGTACATGCGTGGATAAGGTGGACGGATACGCCTGTATTTGTCCTGTTGGTTACAGTGGAGACACGTGTGGAGTATTACTAACTACCAGTACCATCACGACTCTGCCCACCACGACGGTTACAAAGGCGACAAAAGGTGGGTATAAATGCATTGGCTAAAGGAGTATACGTACATCTTAAAATTGGATAAAATTATTTGTCTAAAATAGACATTTACCTACTTTTAGTACCAAGTAGAATTTTAAGCTAGCTGGATAAGTCATTGAATATGTAAGACATGTACATTATTTAAAGTAACCATCTGATTTGTTCTAACTTTGAAAAAATAATGAAACTGGAAATGAATTGAAAGTGAGAACTTAAATTATCAAGTTAGATTATACAGCGTTAATGAGAAAACAAAACTTAAATCTTACGTTGAAATTGAGATGAAGACGTTTCGACCTTATGACAGGGTCTTCTACAAAGTCAAGGGCAGAACGTCACCACGCGTCATTGGTAACAACTCAACATCAGTTGACCCGAAGATATTGCGTTAAGGTTGGGTCGACGGGGTCTCCGTTTCAATTAGTATTAGACAACTATTTTCTCATCATCTCTATGGTAATGAGCTAGTACATGTATATATACCCTGTAAATAATGAAACATTTGGCATCACGTGTATTTCTAATGTTTTCAAGATCCTTGTGATCCGAACCCATGCCCAGAAAAAGAACCAGCACAACCAATGATGTGTCAACCTTTTAACGGGGGCTATAGATGCATTCGACCCAATGGTAAGTGATAGAAAACAACATGGGGACTGAATATACTGGAGCTCATAATTGTTAGGTATTTATCAATATCGCACTGATAAATGGTTTATATTGGCATAATATGGGCTGATAGTGCTATCCTTAGCAGCCATTTTAGTAACATTTTTGCATGATTCAAAACATCCTCTACGTTTGGACAGGCCGGGAATAAAGGCTGGACATACCTATAGGTAAGTTAAATTTTATTAATAATAGGTGATAATGTGTATAACTGTGTCAGAAATAAGGATATAGGGACGAATATACGCAAGGTACAGTTCATATTTCCATTTAAACATTATTTCTTTAAAAAACGTAGCATTTGGGCAAGACGCAAGCTAGTAGTCCACTGTCCACAGTCACAATTTTACAAGTTGTCAATTCGACAGGAAGCAAACTCGTGGTCAGTATTTTGGAATAAAACGTAGAAATACCCAAAGGTGCTGTGTACCCTCAGAAATCATAAAAAAAATATGGAAACACAATTAGATAATAGGGCACAATGGCCCATAATACCTTGTACTAGTACTGTTTTGCCACATGTATTACACACAAGTTTGTTTCTCACGTGTATGTACATGTGGCATGTGCCTTCTAAATACACTTTAAGAGGGTTTTAAGAGAGTAAATTTACCACACTTATCCGGGATGTGTTATAAAAGTCATTTCGTGTTTACAGGATTTAAAGAGACAGCTGGGGAAATATTGGCGAAAAAATAACAAATATGAATTTAGAACATTGACAGCAATTTATAATTACTATAGTTCCTCGTTTTATGAGTTAAAATAGACACTCGTCTTTTAATTATAGGATGATTTGTAAGCATGCCCTGACTGGGATCAATTTGTCTTTTTCACAGGAAGTACATCTACAACAACGCCATGTTCTGTAAATCCCTGCAAAAACGGCGCGCAATGCAAGGAGACTGATTATGGCGCTACCGGTACATTTAAAAAACAGCTTGGTGACTTCCAATGTATATGCCCTCCATTTCACTCTGGCAAGTATTGTGAGAACCTAATCGATTTCTGTCAGCCCAACCCATGTCAGCATGGGTCCACTTGCGAACAGAAGCTTGGGGGATACAACTGCACCTGTCCGGCCACCCACACAGGAACCCACTGCCAAACCCGTGTAGACCCTTGCGCCAGTTCTCCCTGTCTTCACGGCGGACGCTGTACCACACGACTCGATGGAACATTCCAGTGCACGTGTCCAAAGTTGTGGACCGGGGCCCACTGTGAGCGATGCCTGTGTCAGAACGGAGGTATATGTGACTACAGTCCCAGTGACGGTCATGTGTGTCGCTGCAAGGCGGGGTTCATCGGGATGAAGTGTGAGAATGAAGTCAACGAATGCGACAGCTGGCCATGCTGGTATGGGATATGTATTGATTTGGTTAACGGTTATAAATGTGACTGTGACCCTGGCTACGCAGGTAAAAACTGCGACGTCAGGTCTGATTGATTGGTTAAAATATTGACAGAGTTTAATACCCTTTTCATCTCGAGTGGTACACTTTTCTGTGCGGTACCAGTCTGAAAGACAGTTAAGAAAGAGAGATCGCCTTGAGGTATGTTGTAATCCTTTTTTGTCATCGATACTGAAAATGAGGTTCTTCCTGCAGTAATCGTAATGGGGCGTAACTTTATCCCTGAACATGATTGTATCACCAAAATTGGCATAGTTTACAACAATTGTATGGGTCACAATCTCTTGCCGTCATTTTGGTTTAAATGTATTTGTTATAAATTTATGAGCCCATAATTGCAGATTTTCATTAAACAAAGGCAGTTTTGCTTTATTAACGATAAAATCTGAACTGAGAATTTTAAGAAAAATCGGTGACAAGGTTTTAGAATAATGAATAGTCTCATTAATTTGGCATTCAAACGGTATTCGTTGGTGCTTAGGTAGAGGTGAAAATTGAGAAACCGGTTTTCTTATTTTTACCCCAAAATCGTAATTATGACGTCACCAGTAAGATGCCATACGCGAAAATGTTAATTAACGTAGTCACTGAACACTAAAGATTTATCTGTTATCCAAAATAATGTTTGTAAGGTTGTAAATAAGGTGTTTTGGCAAAGGGATGCAATATCCTTAACGGAGCCCCTGCGCTCTATACAGCAAGTTTATTGGATTAAATTTGCTTGGTACAATGGGGCTTGTGGTATGGGGAGGGGGGGGGGTTAAACCCCCGACAGCGTAATTACGTGTTCAGACCAGGAATAGAAAAGTGTATAGCTCAACAGAAAAGGACCGTAGAGACTGAGACAACACGCATGTGTTTTATTGCTGAAAATAAGTCCTTTAGTTGTATTTCCTAAAATGAACTGAATTTTAAGGATATAATTAACGTATAATATCTACATTTTGTTGGCATTGCCGGGAAACATTCAGCCCTTAAGAGCCATTAAATTGCTTGACAGTTGATTTTTTTTGCAACCGCTGCACAGGTAGACACACGCTGTTAGGCATGGAACCTATATCGAGCATATTCTAATGATAATTGTGTGTAAATTTGGCGACATTTGGTGGTGTCCTTTCAATTTAATGGACATTCCTTTACCTTCTTTACCTCTGTAGAAATCAAAGAGAAATACAGGTTATATAAAACCATTATTTTGAAAGAGTGCAGTTACTAGTTAATCTTTTCTGACATATCAGATATAACAATATGCCTAACAATGGGTTAGTACAAAACGCTCACTTTAAATATCAAAGGACTAATGCAATTAACAAAGCAAGGATACATACTGTTATATCACCGTATTTAACATCAGTATAGTTTATGTTTTAAACCGCTGTTACGTAATATTTAATGCCGTGACACTCGCGCTATACACTATAAAAACAACAGAAACAACAAATACTGAGGGCTAAACACTTTATTCTGACTGTGAGACAATTAAGTGTCAGAACCATGATGCTGATATAAGAACTTTCTATCAGTTATCACCTTGAAGAATCGTTCATGGTGTAAGCGTCCATGTTCTTGGCAAATGAATAAACTGATAAAATAACGTAACATAAATATTAATTTGAACAAAACATTTGTGTCCTGGGCGCTACACCACTAAGTGGTCAGTGAGTTATAACATCTACTCACATCAGTCTGATGAAGGCCTACCTCAAGGTTGGCCATGAGTCAACGGTATGAAAATATTCCAGCTTGTTTTTTTTTAGTTTTTATAATTATCATATATGAACAACCACCAAGCTAATAAACATTTTTTGTTAAATATTTTTAAATTCCCAAATTTTAAATTGCACAATCATCATAAAAGTTATTGACTAAGATCCCTGAATATTATCAGGTAAAAGATTGACAGGATGCATACGGAAAGTGTCGGCTATATACTGAAGAAGGAATGACAAGAAGGACATTTGTCACCAAAAGCGACAGAGACATATACAGTTAGTGTAGTGATCTCCATCTGAGATGTTTATAACCAGAGGGCGCCGGGCGGACCAGAGAAAAGTCGCGAAACTATTTTGATAAAGGAGTGCGGGACCGAAAAGCATCCCCAGCAAAACCAAGTACTTTGTGTTAGGCAGTTTCTTTTAAATTACCTGTTTCTCGAACGATTTTTATTTTTGTCAGAGGTCGGAGGGGGGAAAAAAATAAAAAATATTTTTCAAAATAATGAATTTTTGGTCACTCATTTTCAAAACTACATTAAACAATGGTAAATACTGGTTTTAACACGGTATAGCAATTTTTGGATAAAAACAGCAATTCCTTTTCAATGTTTTATTTGTCTAAATGAATGTCAATTCAACGAATCATTCTTGTAAATTACAAAACAAAAAACACAGTTTGCCTTTCTATGCATTCACGATGGCAGTGCACAAAACAGTTTTTTGTTAATCTTGATGCAATATTATGTATGATTTAATGATTAAGTGGAAAATCATCAAATTTAAATTATCTACTTCAAGTAACATGGTCATCCAGAAACAATATGGCTTCATGCCCATGTGAGTTCCAAGTCCCACACTGAAAATACCAATACATGTATATGAAAAATGACCATTTCATAAAAACAGCATAACTTCCATAAAAAGAANTTCACTATCAAATTAAGCTGGTTTCTGAGTGTTTTCCACATCCTTTCTACACACACAATATGTATGTGGTGAGTAACTAACAGTATTGTTGGGCATTTTGAGAAAATCCAAGATGGCCGTCATATGTAATAGGAATACTTCTAGTATTACAAAGGGTTGGAACTAATGCCAGCTTATTCACTATCAAATTCAGTTTATTTTTTTAGTGTTTCACACATTATTATTACACTGTGATACATATCAAGCAGGTAATAAATGTGCATATTTGATCATTTTGAGAAAACCCAAGATGGCCGTCACTGGCCATAGGAATACTACTGGAATAACAACTGCACATCCATGGCTTTTCATCTACTACCAGGGTGAATTTGTGTTTGCTTATTAGTCCGTGGGCCAAATACCGAAACCCTCCCCCCCCCTTAGTGATTTTCGTTCACTATGTTTTTCTGATAGCTTAGGTCCTTAGCTTTTATTTTCTGCTTGTTTGCCATTAAACTGGTGGTGGGTGTGTGTGCTACAGCCGTTGCCATGGTAACACACGGGTTAAAAATTGACATTTCTGAGCCCAACAAAATATAAAATATTTCAAATACATAAACTAAATAGAATTCAAAATTGTTCTAGACATGTAGTCTAAGATGTGCACTATACCTAACGATGAACAAATTTTCCAAGATGGTGTCAAATCCAAGATGGCGGCCAATTTTTGCTGTTTTTTCAGAAATTTTGATAATTTTTAATTTTTTAATTCTTATTTAATTATTAAAGAATTGCAATATCTGGGATATTTTGATGCACCAGTGCAGCATGGAATCTCTACTTTCTGCTTGTAGTGTTTGTTCAAGGTGCAATCTTTTTATTTAGATGAAAAATCCTGAAATCCAACATGGCTGCCACAAAACAAGTCTTTTACATGTAGCTGTCCTGTCTGGAAATATGACAGATTTATCATCCCAAATTAAGTTCTTCATTACTTTTGGTGCACTGAATATAAAAACAGAACCCTTTTCAATTACTTGACTTAATTTGGATTACAGTATGGCTTTCAAAATTCAAAATGGCCGCCAATGACCGTGAATTTACATCTTTGTAACCAGTAGACTAAAATATGACAGCAATATTCCTAATTTTATCTTAAGTTTGGATGAATACTTATGTTTTAATAGTGCTGATCAATACTAGATGTGTGGTCATGTAAAATGATTAAAAAAAGAAAGATCAAATGGTCAACAATAACCTAGACTAGATAAAAGACCTATAATACCCCCCAATAAATGCAAGTCACTCACATTTGACCTAAGAAATCACACAAAGTTTCATGTACATGCTAATCACTCACATTTGACATGGGAAAGAATACTTTTGAGTTGAAATACTAATGTATTCTGTCGCATTTGAAAGAAATGGCTGTCAATGAGTATAGGGGACTATATATTTATGGTCAGTATGATACACTCTTGCTAAAAAATTGATATAAAATTATATTCCAAAAGAATGTTACATAGATTGATTTTATTAACCGGAATCCCCTTTAAGCGACTTTTATTTACTATTATATATTGCTTACATCCTAGGAACCCATTTTCTGCTTGTTTTCTATTCAATTATCCCAGCCATTGCCATACTAACACAGGGGTTCGAAATTGACATTTCTGAGACTAAGAAAATTTCATACATTTCAAATATATTAACTTCAACAATAATGTAAACTTAAGAAGACATCTGTATTCATGGTATGATGGCAAAACATTCTTTGAACATCCAAGATGATGTGATATTTTTCAAGATGGCAGCAATATCAAAATTGCAGCTGGTTTAAGCTGATTTCTAAACCTGTTTCTACTGTAAGTAACTAACGTTGAAAATTTAATGGGATCGAGAAATGTTAAGTATTTTGATTTCCATATGGTATTTAGTCTTTACTTACGGCTTATAGTGTTTGTTATTCCTATAATTATCATTTTAAAAAAAAAAAAAAAAAACTTGAAATCCAAAATGACCCCAACAAATCCTGGGTGATTTACTTTGGTATATATTGCTGTCCTATTAAACTTCTAATATTGTATATTGTTCTCCTAAATTGCCTTCTTTCTATCTGTATTTATTCTTTTATTCTTTTGTATTTCTTGTTACCTTTTGATGTATTGAATTTGAATAATATGAAGCCAAGATCGTGAACATTAGTAATAACTCAGTATGGTCTACAAGTATTTAAATTAGCGTGCGGTAGATGGCTGAAATTATTTGATCATCTCTTACCATCTATTGGGCAAGTTGAATGACACAAAATAGTCTGATTTTGAGTGAAAGGCAACTAGTTTGCAAATATAGATGGCGATTTTGCATTTCTATACAATTATATTTTAAGTAAAATGTTATAAAAAATTTAATTATATATTCAGTTGAAGTTAGTGGATATATTGATTTTTCCAAAACGTGGATATAATATTACCTCTCTAGCAGTTTGAAGCTGAGTTATGGCATATACCGGTACATGTAAATGTTTTATTCCATTTATTCATATAGATGAACACCATCTTAGATTGTAACAAAAACTCAGTTTCAGAGGTAACAGCAAATTTTAATTGGCTTTCCAGTGAACATTCTTCATGAAAAAAGACTACAGCAAGACATTTCATCCATTTCCAAAAAGCCTTAATCCTAAATATTTAACTAAATATGGACAAGTGTTTCCGTGAAAGCAGTGTAGAAAGGGCATATTTGATTATATTAACTGCACAAATTTTAGAATTATTTGTTTGCTGCACTGTTTAATATTATTGCAGCAAAATTCATACCTGCACTGTCATGGCCATTTGTGGCCATGGTGAATTTTGGAATAGCCAAGTAAATATAATTTGACTGAAAATGAATAGAAATGATTTATATTTAGATAATATCCTAATAGGTTAATTCAGTTTATCAGAAAGAGCAAAAGAGGCATTTTGAAACGAAAATGTAATATATATTCGGTCAGCACAGCAATATGTATGAACCCTGTTTTGTGATGGTCACCATGGGTTTCAGGTTTTATTACACTTAAAAAGAGGATATAGGAGTAACAATCACTGTAAACAGTAATTATGCAATTCTGTTCATATCAGCATATCCAAAAACCTAACATTTTTCAATTCCAATGCTGCTTTCAAAGTTTACAAAAAGCTACTTTCAGTAATAAGAAGAAAATTAACATAAATCTATCATCATCTTGGATTGGCTGCCATTTTGGCAATTTATCTATGATAATTTTTTCAAATAATTTTGTTGATAACTGAGGTCCAAGTCTAATTTTTTTTTGTTTACAATACAGCGAGTTCATATATTTGAAATACATGGCAATTTAAAGGTCTCAGAAATTATAATTTTAAAACCCCTGTGTTACTATGGCAACAGCTGAATCTGTCACACCTTTCACCTATTACATGGCAAACAAGCAGAATATTTGAACTTAGGGCCCAAGCTATCAGAAGATCATAGTAAATAAAAATTGCTAATAGGGCTGAGCTATCTTGAGTTTATTAAAATTTATTTTGTATTGGAATAATGTATTATATCATTTCATGTGTAAGCAAATTGGCGGCCATTTTTAATTTCGAAAGTCATAATGCAATCTGAATTAACACAATTTATAGAAAAGGGTCCTAGGTCCATATTCATTACACCTAAAAGTAATAAAGAATGTAATTTGGGATGATTAATGTGGCATCTTTCCAGTTAGGACAGCCGTATGTAAAAGACACGTTTTGTGGCAGCCACCTTGGATTTCAGGATTTTACATCCAAATTAAAAGGTTACATCTTCAACAAGCACTTTAGGCAGACAGCAGAGGCTTTTAACCATTATGGAACATCAAAACACATGCCACATTGCAATTTCTTAATAATTGAATAAAAACTCAAATATAAAAAAATTCCCAAAATTGTTAGAAAATGAGCAATAATTGGCAGCCATCTTGAATTTGCTGCCATCTTGGGACATTTTGATGATTGTGAAGTATAGAACACTTCTTAATTTACACATTTAGTATAATTGTGAATTCCATGATTTTATATGCTTTTGGAATATTTAATTTTTATTTTTGGTCTCAAAAATATCAATTTTCCACCCCAGACATTACCATGGCAACAGCTCTGTTACTCACACCCACCACCAGTTTAATGGCAAACAAGCAAAAAATAAAAGCTTAGGGCCTAACTTACCAGAAAATAATAGTAAACAAAAATCACTAATGGGACTAAGTTGGTGGGAGATGATTAAAATTAATATTCTGTTGGAAGAATATATTATATCAGTTTTAGCCAGTGTGTATAAGCATATTGGCGGCCATTTTGAATTTTGAAAGTCTTTATGTAATCAGAATTAATGCAAATTGTTTTAAAAAGTCCTAAGCTTGAATTCAGTTTATTAAAAGTAATAAAGAATGACACTTTGATGATAAATCTGGCATCTTTCCAGTTGGGACAGCAGACTTATATTTAGGCCACCATTTTGGATTTCAGGATTTTACAACAAAATTAAAAGGTTTCATCTAAAATAAATACTGTAGGTAGCAAGTACAGACTGTATGCTATTCCGGCGCATCAAAACATATCCCACATTCTTATTCCTTTATAATTGAATAAAGACTCAAATATGAAAAATAATTGAAATTACTCAAAAATTAGCAAAAATTGGCCGCCATCTTGAATTTACAGCCATCTTGGAACATTTTGAGGATCACAAAGTATAGTGCAGCTCTTAAACTATACATCTGAAAGGATTTTGAATTCCATTCACTTAACACATTTGAATAATTTAATATTTTTTTGGTCTCAGAAATTTCAACTTTTTATCTCAGACGTTACCATGGCAACGGCTGTAGCACACACACCCACCACCAGTTTAATGGCAAACAGGCGGAAAATCAAAGCTTAGGACCTAAGCTATCAGAAAAACATAGTGAACGAAAATCACTAAGGGGGGGGAGGGGGGTCTACATTGGCCCATAGACTATATCAAGTTTTGCCCATCCTTATTAGTCCTATGATATATANAATGGTTTGTAGGATCGTTACCAGTCGCCTCACTCTGGTTACTCCACCGATCTCTCAATCTTAAAACAATAAATGTATAAATAGTGGCAGTTAATGTTACTCATTTTCCATATAGTTATTACGATTGCATTAAAAATAGTAAATCATTTAGTCTTTAGAAAAAAAAAACAAGTCGAACATGTTTAGTCTGTGCAAAACCATCCGTACTCAATAATAAGTAATATAGACTTACAAGTTAGTAACTACTGGCCCACAGGTTACTGCAACCATGGAAGTATAGGCCAGTTATACTCCCTGCTGCAACTGTACGCATCAAAACAACTCCACACGGAACCCACGTGTACTAGTGACAACCACACCGCAAGTGTAATACCAAAAGAGCGTTCATTACGTTAAATAATAATTCTGTATTTAATGAACACCATTAATTCTGAATCATTTCCGATGATGATAAAAGAGATAAAACTGCATTCATCTTGGATACAAATGGATCACTGTTTGAAAATCATTTTAAATCTATATTTGTATTTTTTGCATATTTATACTTTTACACGTGCTACTTTTCGTGTGCTAACTCTCTAATAATTAAAGACTGGAAAGAGCACTTACAGAAAATGGTGAGTGAAATGCTCTTGAGCAGTTTTCTTTTCTAACGTTTATTTATTGTACTTACCATTTATTTGTTCTTCTTACCTTTGCCATTGACCATTGTTTCTTACAGGGGAAGACAAAGAAAACAAAACAGTTTGCTCAGATGAAGAGATTGATCAGTCTGAAGGACACAAGGATGTAAGTACTAGGAGCACGTCAATGAATGTAAATAATGCCCACGTCTTAACTCCATGCTTGCCTAAATATCTTTAGTAATGTGACAACCTTCCCGTAGTAACTTAATTACAAGACATAGTGTAAAATACGGTAGCTATTGCCTGTAATCTAAGAGAGAATTCATGTAACATTTTGTTCAATTCTGCGCATATGTTTACTTCCATATTTTGTCGGTATGTTGCGTGACCAGTCTTTTACGTTTTGTTAACGTGTATTTTTAAATGCAAAGGCACAATCAAAAACTTTTTATCCCTATTTCATCCTTATAATTATTGACTGATATTTAAAACATTGTTTAATTTATCAATTTGTAAAATATTTTACTGGTAAATGCCCAGCATCTGTAGCCCATAAAAATTACTTCTCTCATCTTCCAGAAAAGCCAAAGACAAGTACAAGGAAAAGAAGAAACGAAAGAAGGCAGATCCACAAAATATGAAGATTAGAGAACTGTTAGTATACATTTTGTTCCACATCAGACAATATTTTGAATGGAAATGTTTCCACCTTTCATAAGAATTCTTTCAAGTCTATATAAGAACCATTGGAATTTCTTTACTCTTTCATAGTAGAACATTGAAATTGTTCGGTAAAATTAGATTGGTCATTTTATTTAATAAACAATTAATAAATAATTAATATATATGATTTTAGGATTAAATGTTTTTCATCTCGTATTATATTATTTTCAGACCTCAAGCTTCCTCTGCATTGTTCTTCAAATACAACACAAATTTAGGCCCACCTTATCACATCCTTCTGGATACCAACTTCATCAATTTTTCCATTAAGAACAAACTGGATATAATTCAGTCTATGATGGACTGTCTCTATGCAAAGTGTAAGTAAAATGGCATTTTAAGCGTCAGTTTTTAGTTGGTTTGCTAATAGTCTAAAATTGCATGATTACTCATTGATATACAAGTATAGTGTGAATGTTGATTTTTTGGTCACTTTATTGTTATCCAGATACTTTTAATCTTTCCAAGTTGAAGAAATGGTTAATTATTGGTAGAAAGATCATGATTTACACAACATAAATCATTCAGTTATTGATCAGAAAAAATGTTCAATTGAACAACCAAGAGTCGAAATAAAAAGTGACTAAAACTGTTTTATAATTTAGGTATTCCATATGTGTCAGACTGTGTAATGGCTGAATTAGAAAAATTGGGATCGAAATACAGAGTTGCTCTAAAGTAAGTGTTTTGCATTGATAGAAAATATCATAAATCATTGGAAAATATGATAAAATTTCAAATTATAGAATTGGGTTAAAAACAATTCATTATTAAAAGAAGCAGATAGAATCCTAAGAAAAAATACTAACAATTGTATGAATGCTTACACACTTCTTCCTGTAGTTTTGACTTATTATATATGAACTTCTTAATTTCATTAATTTTTTCAGAATAGCAAAAGATCCCAGGTTTGTTAGATTACCTTGTATGCACAAAGGAACATATGCTGATGATTGCTTAGTGCAGAGGGTTAATCAGGTGAGGAGAATATGGTATACATTGAAAATACATTCTGCATTAGTATTTTAGTCTAATAGTGTAAACTCCTTAACTGTAATTCATTTGTCAAGATAGTTACCATTTCTAGATATGATTAAGCATTACCACATTTTTTACCAAGAGCGTCACATACAAATGTATAAAAAAATTGAGTAACAGTGTAGGGTCCATTGATACTTTGCATATATAGTAAAGTATTATTTTATTGCTTTCTTTTAGCACAAATGTTACATAGTTGCTACTTGTGATAAAGATTTAAAACGGAGAATAAGGAAGATCCCTGGAGTGCCAATTATGTATTTAGCACAGCACAGGTATGGTATTGCCTTTTTTCGGCTGAACGTTTCATATTGAAGGCTTGCACTGATTTCATTGGATCTAGTAAACATTTTATTAATGTTTTACTGTATTATAGGTTGATAATCAATTACAGTCTTTATGTAACTCTTGAACAGGTTGTGCCAGATATTCATCAGTTAATAGAGACTGATGGTAAAAACATGTTCTAGACAATTAGAACATTTTATAACTCTGAAGTGATGGCGTGCAAAATTACAGTAGGAAGCAATGACTTAATATTGTGTTTGTATTTCAGGTTTTCAATTGAAAGAATGCCAGATGCATATGGAGCACCTAAAATATAACACCTCGGTGACAACATTGGAAACTGTGCTTAAGATAAAGCCATAATTGCCTTGATTATAAGAGTCCAATGTCAACATCTTGTAGAAAACTGGAACAGAATAATTTAAACTTTATGCTGAATTTTTGTCAGAAAACCTCAGTCAAGCTGGTGCAGAGAGACATTTGATGACAGTTTGCATTTAATGTAATTGCTTGATGCCAAAAATCTTAAATATGACCATGGCAATGACAATGAAACCAAAAATAAATCCACCAAGTGCTGCAAAGTTCCTTGTCATGTGGTCCAGTGCGCCAGGATAGAATAAAGTTATATACAGACTGCCATTCCTCAAACATAGCACAGGATCTGAAATGCAACACATTACATTTTTAAAATGCAAAGTTTTGAGTTAATGAATTAACAAATCTAGATTGAATGTTGACAAGAATATGCAGGCCTAAGAATTCATGTTCATGGTGTTGCTAAAGTGTGAACAAGTGTGGTCAGGTACATTATCTGGCTGTAAACATGTTATTTCAAGGATAATTATTGGTGTGTTTATGAAGTGGTGAAGAGCAAAGCTTTGATTCTGATTCATCAGTTTTCTTATAGGACACAAGGTATTGAACATAACAATTAACTTCATACTTTAAATATGAATTTACCAAACTACTAAATCTAACTGTTCGTTTTTAAAATGGGTAGAGTTAAGGTGTAGAAAATCATGACCTACCTGAACCACAATGCAGTGTGAGATTATTAAATTCATTAGCTACGAATATTTCACCAGCATATTTGTATGGTGATGCCCAGGAAAGCCACTGGATAATCTCGGGCATGCTGCTGACAGTCCTGTTGGATGTGAAATTGTCAAATAAATTAATTATCATGTTATTTATAATAGCTGAGACCATGTATACTTAAAACAACTTTAAATTGATAAAAATATTTTAAAAAATGACTAATACACTAGTCTTATTATTATTAAAAGGAGTGAGAAGGACTAAATGAAGAGAAGATAATAATGATTAGTTGTTACAATTATATTCATGCAAATTAACATCTAAATGGTAATAATTAAGTGTGTAAAATGGCTTAATAAGTTTCTGTTCAACAGAGTGCATAAAAAGACTGCCTAGGTAACCTGCCTGAGAAAGCCTGGAGCTATGAGACCAGATATTGTTAAAATAAGTGCTACGATGCTGCTTGCTACTCTTGGATTTTGCATCATGCCCAGTAGGATGACCGTCATGATCTCGCCACTGTAGTGGAGGAAGAACACTGTGGCTGCATGCATAGCGTACAGTTTTGGATCCGGCTGTAAGCCACATACCCTAAATGTAAATAGTGTTAACATTGCTTCTATAATTGGTCAAATATTTTAATATTACGTGGGTAAGGTAAAATAATGAACCTGCTAATTGGACCTAAACTGCCGCCATGATGAACATTGATCTCGACAAATATGGATTTTATGATTTTATGGAAATGATAAACGGTGAATGACCGAAAATCTTGTATACTCAGAAAACTGTCCTTCAGGAGGGAAACCCCACTCACTTTAAAAACTAAACGAAAACTAGTATTGAAATTTGATAAATGCCTGGCCATAACATAATATTTTATATGCTAAACGCTTTATACGTTATCTTTTAAGTGATTGATATCATTGAGCGGATATCAAAATATTTTCAGTATCAATAATATTAGGAAAAGGTCCCAGAACTGACAACACTAGTCTACGCATTTACGCGCATTCTTTGCATTATTTAGAACAGACTCCCATTGTTTACATGAATTATTTTATTGTTGATAACATGTTAGACAACAGATCAACGCATTTTGAGTACTGTCATGTTAGCAACCGTGAGTTTCATGTTACACATGCTTTATCGATGTCATAACAGACGTAGCCTTACAGGTAGTATCACGGGAAAGAAGTTGTATAACCCAGACTTGACTTACCAATACGTAAGGGTGCTGTACAAAATTGAGCTTAAAATGCTAAAAGGCAGGGTGTAAAGGCAAAAAGATAACAGGAACGCTGGTAAGACATAAAGACCATCCCTGGATTCTCGGTAATATAGGTCCCGTAAGCTTGGAACTGCAAAAACAATATTGATCAAGGAATGGTTACAGTGTCAGTCTGTCAACAAATTTAGAGTTTTAACAAATTTAGAGTTTAAAAATCCTTTAACAAAAATTCATATAGTCAAAATATCCCATTTAAAGGCCCTCGACTTCGGATGTACAGTTACAGTTACTTAATTTCTAAGCATGTGTCTTTTAAATGAAATGTTGAGCTCCAGAGCGATACGTACATTCTTCAATGGTGTGAAGCATCGCAGAAAATGGTGGCACGGCTACAGTTTGGTATAATAAACCTATTCGGTCCTGAATACTTTGTTGATTGTGCTGGAGTTTTCCAAGGAACAGGCAAATCATGCCAGCGAATACGGACTGCGTGAAGATGCGTAAGAAAAATGCACTTCGGTTTCTGTACAAGTTTACTAATGACCTCCTGTAAAATGAACGAAATATTTCCAGAAAAACACAAGGCCCTAACTGCGAACATATTTAAAACACCTAACGATTGTTCTTTTTATACATGTTAGAAGTGTTATGCCCTTCAAAACGTTGGGTATGCAATATTCAATATTCAAGTTTATCCGTAGACGGGCAGGCTGGATATCTTTCGTAACAAATATCTTCTTTTGGAATAGAAGACGAACTACATGTATTTCTACATTTCCTGGGTCAGTGATTTGATTTTAAAATATCTATATGTTACATGGGGCCCCATGTGCAACGGCAACACTTCACATACCTTACAAGTATGAAAAGGGACACAAAAAATCTTAGCATATTATTTGAATTCCACATCCATGAGACGCAAACCCTTTCCCCTCCATGATCGTCGGCTTCCATAGCTTCTGTGATTTCACCAAGCATCGATATATAGTGCGGAGACTGCAATAAGTTGGCTCGCAGATAATTAACCCGTTCGTCGGATTCTTTTTCTTTATCGGCACTTCTCGTGTCAATACTTGATAAATCAACTGTAATAAGAAATAAAAAAGATAAATTAGTTTATAAAACGCTTTAAATATATATTGGCAGTGTACCAAACAAAGTCAAATACCAATAGAGTTATATAAGATTATGTACCGCAAACTCCTTCAACCATTTTTTCTTATTTATTAATCAATTAAACATTGACTGATTTTTTTACGATGTATGCATCTACATGAATACTGTATCACGGTTTTGTTTGCGTGATGCCATCTCGCTCATGTGTCGACACCTGCACATACCGTAGTGGTCCAGTGGATTGGCGAATGTTGGACAGGGGTATCCAAGTCTGCTAAAATAGGGCACCATTTCTGTCGCCTTCCCAAAATATATCATTTCACCTCGAGACATAATCCCAACTTGGTCAAAAGTCTTATACAGTTCTGAGCGAGGTTGGTGGATTGTACAGAGAACGATTTTGTTTCTCTGTGCCAGCTCAGCCAATGTTTGTACCAAATAATGTGCGGTGAAACTATCCAGGCCAGTTGTGGGTTCGTCTAAAAGTAGCATCTCTTTTAAAATAAGAAAAAGAAAAACATTTTAGGTTTTAAGTACTTGTAAACTTAACTGCTTTGCGATTTGATTGGAGTTATGAAGTTAGTCTATTTATAATTCAATCGATTAGTATATTGTAGAAATTGTTTTGCACACCGAGAGATTGACAATAAGGCTTTCTTTCATTTTATAGCTTATGGCTATTGAAATGTATATGTAGTAAAATACTATATTTCAATTCCTCGAATTCGCCTTGATTGCATGAAAGCAAATTCTTACGTGGGTTTTGCAGTAGTTGTATTGCAATTGTCACTCTTCTTTTCTCCCCTCCAGATATTCCTCTCTCCACCATGCCACCAATCCTTGTGTTCCGCACTGGTCTAAGACCCATCTCAGATATAACGGCTTCCACCTAAAACCGCATATGACATAATAGATAAAATTCATGATGAGTATTGTGCATACGCATCTGACAAGTATTTCTTCTTTGTGCTTGAAATAACTCAATCAATCTAGGATATCTTTTTGTCTTTGTATCGCCTCATGTAACAACCCTGTTCTCTTTCATAAAATGGGTTTAAGTAATCCCTGAAATTGAAGAACAATATAACAATACATGGCATGTCCTAGTTTTGTGCCAAAAGGCAAATTACGTACTCTTTCCTTCAAATTTTTTGAAGATTTCCCGACAAATTTCAGTTTTGCTGTATAAGTCAGTGTTTCTTTGACTGTGAGGTTGTCCATGAGTCTGTCGGCCTGTATGACATATCCTGCAGATTCTATTAAACCAGGCGTCCCCCACACCAGTCCTTGTAGCTTGCCATTGCTCCCCATGCGATTGCAGATTACGTCTAACAAAGAAGTTTTCCCGGAACCTAGAATTAAAGCACATTATTTCATTCTCATTCTTTTATAGTAAAATTTTTGTCCAAAGTTATCCCGAATCCAGTGCGTCATTTATACGTAGACAATTTAAAAATTATAATACAAAATTCATTAGCATAGAAAACCAAATATTAACAAAAAGTACTTCAATAAATCGGATTTCGATTCCGTTTTGGATAGTTCTTCATGCATGCCCAATGTCAACTTAACCGCCTGGAGTTTATTCAGAAAGGGAAAGAAAGAAATCCAGTGTGTTCCCAATATCCATATTGTACAGTTCTCTTATCTTAGCAGAACATATTACTTTTAAAGCCCCATACCAGAGTTTCCAAGAATTGCCGTCAGTTGTCCACTCCTGGCAATTAAACGAACGTCCTTTAGAATTTCTTTGGTTCGGCGAACTCCCAACAGCGTGTTCTTCCACCATGGTCCACGATCCTCCTTCACGCTGTAGCTAACGCCCTCCAGGCACAGAGTAAACGGAGTTTGTAAATCTGCCGGGGTGTAACAACGGTAGGAGTTGGAGATTTGCCTCGACGAGCCTGGCGAGTAAGACCCTCTCTTGTTCTCATGGGAAGGGAGAAGCGGCGAAGTTTCCGACACCACAGGTGTGCTCGTCATCCTTCACAACTTCCACTGAACTATACGTTTTCCTTACGTAAAACCTTACGTTTTCCTATTGAATGAACGTTTGACTGCATCTACCGAATACGAAACTAAAAAATGATGTTATGAAAGGCTGGATCTTTGCTGAAGGTGGTATTGTTGCTGTATTGTTCACCTGCATTGGCCCGGGTCAATATATAGAATCTTTCACTTGTGTCACATGCTCAGTAAAATCCAGACGGCTGTAACGCATTGTAGCTGGCATATCAGGTTAAGAGCTGTTTTGTTATTATCTTTATCGGTGATAATTTTCAGTACCTATGTGAGTGCGTATGTACGCACGCTTATCAATTATTGCTTTACAAAATCTCGTTATGCTTAGTTATTTGTATTTCACATATTTACAATCGTCAGTGTAGGCCTATTGCCTATTGGGGAATGTATTGGGAATGTATTACCGATGCATCGAACTGGTACTTATTCATACATAACGATATATGTCTATGACAGCTTCCGCGTTCTTCATAATCAAGCGCATCTGGGAAGAAAAATTACACACTCCCTTTCCCATCTTTCGATCTTTGGGTGTTTTTAACAGACTTGGTCACTGTAATATGGCCACTATTCTGCATAACCCTCACAAGACTCATTTGCAGTTCATCTGCACTATTTTCGTAAAACAGCATGTGTCAATATTTCCAGAACAATAACCATGTCGGTGATGTTTTGACCATTTGACCGACATAATAGATATGTGCACTGGCGATTAGTACATTCTAATCTTTGTTTATGATGCTCTTGGCGGCGGGGGAGATATCACTTGGACGGCATTATTAAACTCGTAAATATCTTGCTGCACGTGATCCTATGTCTTCGATAGACGGATCAGGAGTAGGATGTAGACTTTACCCGACGTGGAAACCTGTTGTCTTGACTATCGAGGTTAGGCCGTGAATTGGTTTGAGGCGGTTTTGAAGAATGTCGCGTTCAAAACGGTAAGGGGAGTACATGTATATGAAGATAGTCAGTGACAGGCTGCATTGTTAACTTTTGCATCCTAAATGGAATGAGTGAGTGCCCGTGTGGTGCCGCCCAAAGTAAAACCCATGTTCATTTATTTGCTATTTACAACTCGTACATGTATGTAGGGGAAGTCGGTATCATAAGATCGTTGTCGTTATTTAAGTGAGTCTAAATTATATTATTTAAACTATTACAGCCCAGATGACGGGGCCAGATATGGAATCAGTAGATGGGAGACGTGATGCTATCAATACAAGATACGAAGAATACATTTCGTCCTATAGTCACCACTTACCGATGAATTTACAGGTGGGCTTTTTTCCTTTTTTTTTCTTCTTAGACGTGGAAAAGAAATACTGATGTATTTCAATTATTTTGTATTGGCATTATTTCTTTGTAGTATGATGCTCGTTATGAAGTAACTATGTGAAATTGTCTCTTTTTCAGCAGAAACTGAATAAGTGAAATTTAATGAATGCAATGTAAAATGTATCTCACATAGAAAAATAAAAGATAAGACAAAGTTGAAAAGAAGGAAATAAACACTTAAAGAAACTTCAATTAAAAGGCTTCGATTCGTGCTTCCAGGCTCAAGACGTATCCTATATTGTAGCCGAGGGAATGGCTAACATGTGGTGGGCGCGACTCACGTCCCTTCAGATGCCCTGGGAATGGACTCGGGGCCCGAAAAGGAAGAAGCGCGTCCTGAATGGGGTGTCCTTTCAAGTGAACTGCGGGCAAATGTTGGCTATACTGGGGACTTCGGGTAAATTAGACAATTTTTGTTTGTTAGGCAAACTGTGTTTAAATTTCATCTTTTTGTCATTCTTTCTTTCACTTTTTCGTCCTCCCTTCCTCCTTTCTACTTTCCTACCTTACTTCATTTCTTCATTTTGTGTTGAACTAATTTAACAGCATTGGGGTTTCCCATTTCCCCACTCATTAACTGCAGTTGCTTCGTAAAAATTCAACACCCAAACCTATTTTAGATAAAACACAGTATATCAAAGATATAGGGGCTATAAGTGCGCCTATGTAACAAACAGTGTCAAAAAGTGTAATAAAAATTAAATTTTTAAAGTGGCACTGCTTTTAGGTAGTGGCAAGACGTCTTTGTTGGATGTTTTGGCTTGTAGACAGACTTCAGGGGAACTTACAGGCCGAATTACTGTGAACGGCGTCGAAAGAACAGAAACGATGATTAAGCGACACGCGGGCTATGTCAGGCAAGACGATCGATTGTTACCAAATCTGACCGTGAGAGAATCATTAATGTTTGTAGCCCACCTCAAGCTACCCACGTCTTTCAACAAAGAACAAATAGAGACTAGAGTAAGTCATATATATTTTTCTAGATTCACAGCGGACTGTTTTCAGGGTTGATCTTGAAACATTGGGTTATATGTACAGTATGGAGTGACCTTATGGTTTATTTAAAAGGTCAACCTCTAATCCAGTTGGATTTTCTTAAAACCACTGAAATTTTAGATAGTAAAAATTATATATATATATATATATAAATGGAATATAAAAATATAACTGTGAAAGTGCGACTAAGATGTTTTTAGTTTCCTTAAGTTACATTTTCGATACTGATTTTATTATATTTATTAAGGCCATAAGATGTGATAATATTTTTTTTGATAATCAAAATATGTCCCTGACATATATAGGTGGACAGTGTGGTGGCTGAACTGGGGCTCAGACCAGTGTATGACAGTAAAGTTGGGGGCGCAGAAATACGCGGCATATCTGGGGGAGAAAGGAAAAGAGTCAGCATAGCAACTCAACTACTTGTGGATCCAAGTGTGTTTGACTTATTTCATATTCATTATTTTTTCATTATTTGTTAATTCATATACTGACTTAGAGTGTGTTTTGCTGATTATGCTGAAAGTCTGCGTGTGCACAAAGATTTGGCTTTAGAGATATCTAAAGTGCTTTTAGAAATAATATTGATAAGTTCACAGCATGGATAGGGTCGATAGTAATAACAATAATTTGAAAAGGTTTTTTTTTCAGTATCAACTGAATTTTATCTATCTGTGTTTATCTAAATACTTATCATGTGAATTTCAGGTATTCTGTTACTAGATGAGCCAACGTCGGGTCTCGACTCATTCACGGCGCATCATTTGGTGGAAACTCTCTCCACGCTGGCGAAGAATAACCGCACAATACTCTTAACGATACATCAACCAAGGTGTGGAAATGGCGTAACATTTTGACTGATTTTTGTATTGTAAAGGGCGTCGTTGGTGGGGTTTGTTTGGTCAAAGAAAAGAAAAAGACGTTTGCCGGAGACATGGGTAGTATTTTTAGTACTCAGCGACCACCACTTTACCGAGTCCAAAACTCTAAATTGCCCCATTATAGACGATTTCAAGCCCGCCTTTGCATGTACACCCAAACCCAAAGAAGCGGTAACAATTACACTCCTGGCGTTTGTGTTAAATAACAATTATTTAATCAAGGGTTAGAAAGGTTGGTGCTTAAGAAAAAGATTTGAACATTTCTTTCGATAGAAAATGCGGAACTTTACGACGACAATCCCCTCGCTCCCAAACGATACTTAAACGATTCGTTTAATTCATCCAAAAGTATGGCCGTTGCAAATATTCGCATGCAATTGCGTTTTAGATGAAATGAGATAAAGAATCGAAGTATGTGACAATGCTTTTATTTTAAACGTTAAAACAGATTATCGGTCTGATTTTGTGATAATATAGGTTACTAAAATTGGCAGCTAGTTTATAGTTATCATTTGTTGTATTATCTTTAATTTTGTTTTTTAATCAATGTTAAGGCCAGTTTAATATGGGTTTATGCATGTAATTGAAACTGTACACGGTTTCAGGTCGGACATCTTTAAACTGTTTGATCTGGTGATGATCTTAACTGAGGGCAATGTTGCATATTATGGAGAAGCTGCCAAAATGATCCCATATTTCACCAAGCTACAATACCCGTGTCCAGAATTCACAAACCCGTGTGATTTTTATGGTGAGGTTTGGCGTTGGTCTTTGAATGTAGGCTCTATCAACGTAGGTGCCATCAAATTTATACATATATAAGCGACGTAACTGTTTACAATCCTTTTTCTTTAAATTTAAGTTGTGAAAACCGAACTGAAATATTAAATTTGTTGTCTTCTCAGTTGATCTCTGTACAGTTGATACAAAAACTGAAGTCACAGAAATAGAATCTTCCCGTCGGGTGGATTCCTTGGTGAAACAATACTCCCAGGAAATGTTACAAAATGATAGCGGAGCCTTTGTTAACGGCGCAGAGGACGAACCTACAAGACTTCGAAGGGACTTGGAGGCAACACGACTGTATCTGCCTGGGTGGTTTACGCAGTGGGCAGTTCTGACAAGGTAGGCCGAATGAACAGACTGAAGCTAGTGAAAATTTCAAGGAAAGGGGTTACATTTACAGAAAACGGCTTAGGTGTCAGAAGAAACATGAAACATTTGCCGTTTGAGTATAGAGTGTTGCAAATGCTTGGGAGAAAAGCGCATACATCACCTACTAATAAGTTACATTTACGTTACACGTAATATCTCGTAATATGTTTGACTTAGAGTTACAGAAGTATAACTGTTGAACATTCAAAGTGAATTCTAACGCTCCGGAGACGTGGGATTCTAACCAATTCTTTGAATTGAATTTATAAGGTGCCCTTATCAAAACTTTCACTTAAATGTCTTCTTCATCCTCGACCAAATTCTTCAACGTATCTGTGAAAATGAAGATGGGGAGGGGAAGGGAATGAAATACACAGCTAAATAATAAAAAATTCTAATTCTCATTTTAATGAATTCCAGGCGTGCTCTGATCAACAATTTCGCCGACTATGGTTTCCTCCTCGTCCAAATTGCGGAAAGTGTATTTATGTCTCTCGTTATCGGCGTGGTCTACCTGAACCTTCAGTTTGATCAGTATGCCATGAGGGACAGGTTCGCCTTGATGTTTATTTTGGGTGCACTCTACCCGTACATGATGGTCGTGGATGTTGTTGGCAAATGTAAGAATAACTCTGCAGACCAAAATTTTAGTTCCCACTTGCACCGTATTGTTTTATCTTTTCTATGAATTATGTGTGCTGAGCTCTGTAAGACTATATGGTTATAGGTTTTTGCCCCAAAAAACTGAAAAAAAAACTGAATAAGAAAATACTAGAAATGAAAATTGTGACATGATAGTTTACATATTATTTGACGGAGAATTTTTTTTAGATCATAAAGAAAGATGGCCACTTTATCATGATCTTCAAGATGGACTGTACACCCCTGGACCATTTTTCTGGGCAAAGGTAAAATACTGTGCTTGTTTGACAACACACACACACACATTTCGAAGCAGAAAAAAATATGTGGAATATTATATTTACTAGAAGATTCCACCACATTCAATGACCGTTTTTATTCCGTCTCTATTGCAGCTCGTCAGTGAGATTCCAGAACACACACTATTTCTGATCCTGTATTCAGTTCCTTATTACTGGTTGTCCAACATGCAGAATGATGCCTTACTATTCTTCCAAACGTTTGTGATTCTGTTTCTCACTGCGTACTGTTGCCGCTGCGTCGGCATGGCGTTTGCTGCCGTCTTTCCCACATGCCAATCTGCCACCACTTCTGCACAAGGATTTTTTGCAACTATGCTACTCTCTGGTGGCTTCATTATTAACATGGATAATTTATTTGAAGGTAAATGTTATTTCCTTTGTTTCTTCTCTATAAAAGTTCCAACCAATGAAACATTTATAAATGAGGTGAGAATATTTTGTGACCTTCAATATCTTATGGATGTTCACGATTTAGACAAGCAAAAAATACTAACCATAGGTTTAAAAAAAAAAAAAAAAAAAAAAAAAAAAAAAATATATATATATATATATATATATATATATATATATATATATATATATATATATATATATATATATATATATATATACTAATTGCAACAATTTACATTATAAATATTGCCATGATCTTATTGATTTTCTTTACCTATACAGGTATGAAATGGTTATCCAATGTGTCCTTTCTGAAGTGGAGTTACCAATCCTTATGTTTGGTTGAGCTACCAGGGTTGAACTTTACCTGTCCCTTGCCAATAGGCACGTGTATTCATAATGGGTCGGAGGCCCTGAAGTACTACTCAATGGAAAATATAGAGATGTGGAAAAGCTGCACTATCCTTGGAGCAGAGTCCATATTTTTCCTTATTGTATTTTACATTGCCTTAACATTCATTAGTCAGAAACCACAAGAGTCATAATTGTCATTTTTAAACATGAATGACTTTTGCCAAGACATTATGTTCAATGAACTTTAACAAAAAGTCAAACTGTAAAGTCAAGAGAGAACAATGATTAGATTTCTAAAATAATTTTAATTGATGAATTTATATGCAAAGCATGTCATATGTTTAACACATTACAGAAGAAAGCCGGTTTCTTTGGAGAATCTTGGAAAAACTCTTTAAGTTTATGAACATTACAAAATGTAAATATTTACATTTGTATTTATATCCAGGACTAGGGGATTTGTTTGTCTTTGCCATTATAGCATTCATACCTAATAATTATCAAAAAAGGTAATAGTACATTGAACAGTCTATAGTTACTAATTGACAGCAGAATGGGTATGAATGACAATTATAATCCCAGACTATGTCTGAATCTATTGGATTACATATCCTTCGTCAATTTCTGTACATGTACGCATGTACTCTTACACTGAATAAATACAAATATTCCTCATCCTGTTTCACAAAGACCAAGAATCAACTAGTTACAAATGAAATAAAAGCAAGCTGAACCTCTTAGACCCACTTGCCAAATTATACCTTTGGATACTCATAATAACAATCATGTTTTTATTATATTTCATTTGCTTGTTTAATGTGAAACCAACAGCAATACTAAGAGATAGAGACAGTTCATCAGATTTTATAACTCTTCAATTTCTTGTTGTTCAGTCTTTTTCTTGGGTTTAAACTTAGTTGGCTTGTGGTCTGTCATTGCAAATGTGTCATGGCCTTCCCTGAAATTGAACATCATCAAGATATAAAAGCTCAGTTGAGCTGGAAATGTTTAATGATTGTATATAATATCTTACACAAAAATTGTCATTTTCATTAAGTCAAAATAATTATCCATTTTTAACCTTGAAAAGCAGCACACCAATGTGAACAGTGTTATCAAATACTGCAACATATCAAGCAATGTTAATTAATTTATCATAATTCCACACAAGTTCAAATTCTAAACAAGGACATTTTTAAGTTTTACTACTTCACCACTCTCAAAAATTCTAAATAGGACATTTAATGAAAATTGTTTGTCAAATACTAACACATTTAGTCCCAGTCATGTCAAATTTCTGTGTAAAACCCTTATTAAATATTTAAAGAATCATACTTTTGTACTGTGAACAAATAATGTTGAATTTAATATTCGTAAATATTTGAGATGTTTGGACAACTACACCAGTTTGGGAATTTAACTTCTTAACAATGGGCATGAAAACCTCAGTTTTCAATTATACAATAAAAACGAAAGACACCCACTAGCCTGTATGTTGCCTGATTAATAAAGAGCAAATGCTGATTAATGAGCCCACTTACTTAAAGCACCTATCACAGTAGAGATCTCCATCACAACCATAGCACCTTAAACTGGCATCAGCATTGCAAATACAGCACCATGGTAAGTCATCTGAATCCTCCTCCTCCTCCTCCTCATCATCATCATTATAACCATACTTTTGTTCACCTTTCTGAAACATTTCAATATTAATTTTTTTAATCACAGTGCAAATTAAGTAAAAATGTGATAATTACACTAAACAGTACAACAAATTTTATAAAAAATCTATGCTTAAATATTTCCAGACGGTGAACATAACTCTTTAATTAATCAAAATATTTTACTCACTGCAGTTTTTGTTTTTCTTTTTGTTCTTTCTTTAATGCATTCTTTGTAACCAGATTCTTCAAGTTCATCATCCAATCTGTTCTCTTCTAATGCCTAAAAGAAAGAAGCGAAGTAAATTAAAAATAAAAAAGGACAATCGTTTTTCCTTTGCACTGTCATGATATTTTAAGCACAATATTGATTTTTCTCTTTGCCAGCACATAATAAAGCAAGAGTCTTTTTTCTGCATAAGGACTGTAAAAACACAATATGTGACTCACCTTTTTGAGGATTTTCTTGATACTCTCTTCTTCATCCTCCTCGCTTTCAACATTATCATCACCAGAAACTATACAGGTTGCACCTAAAATTAATAAAAAAAGAAGTGCCTGTGTGTGTGTTCATTTTACAAAAGATGTGAAATACAGTACATCTATTCTAACAGTAAAAGAACTGCAAAACTCAATATCCCATCAAAATGCAAACATTTTTCATTTTCAACATGCCCATATAATAATAATAATAATAATAATAATAATAATAATAATAATTATATATATATATATCATAACAGACCTAGAATCACATTTATTTCTACGTAACTGAAATCCACGACTCCTTATAAAGCTCACCTTCAAGGACTTCCTTGTTCTCTTTTTCTTTGTTTTCATTTTTCTTTCTATCACGCTTCAGCTGAGCAAGTCTCTCTTGAATGTCCTTATCCCTCTCTAAATCTTTTATGGCTTTTTGGGCATCTAGCTCTAACTCATGAGCTGCCTCGGCTATTAGTCTATTAAAATATCATGAAGGTGAGAAAGGCAATAACATAATAATTGCTACTTTTATTTGTGGAACAGTCAATTCTATAATTCTAGAATATATGGACCCCTTTTGTATATTGTGATAAGGAGAATACAAAAAATATTGCTAACCTTTGCATTTCTTGGATATCGATGTCATTTTTTTCAGTAGAATTTGTTTGGTTTTCTTCTTCCATTGGTAAATTAATGTTTTTTCTGTATAGTTTTTCTGGCATGGAGTCTTGTTTATTTAAATCATTCTGGCCCATACTTGAGCTTCTTGAATTTTTGGCAACTTAAAATAAAAATAAAACAACAAAAATTAAATAAAAACATCAAAACATAACTAGGCAAAACAAAGAAGTAGACTAATGCTTTTAATCTAGGTTATGTAGAAAGTTTTGGAAATCTTTTTATCATGAAAGGCAACATTACAAATGATAAACTATTCAGAATAATTTTAAATAAAATTAAACAACTGCGTCATACAGCTTAATTTAATATTTTCAACATTTTTAAACTGAATATTACCTGACTCTTCATTTTGCTTTCCTGGTTGTTGTTGGAGTTGTAAGAGTCTGTTATGTATATCTTGTTCAGGAGTAGGATATTTTGAGTCAAGATCAATCTCAGCACAAATCTCATCTAACAAGTCCTCTGTTTGTTTTGCTGCAGTTCTTGTATCTGGTGCTTGATAGAACTGTAGATCGATTGGAATAATTTTTATGTGGATAACATCATTATATTTTAAAACCAACAGTCAATTGCAGAAGTTAAAAGTAAGGGGGCTTCCAAATGGTATTGTTTAATAGTAAAAACAAACATTGTGGTGTTGATAAAAATAAATGACTACCAACTATACCTTCGTATTTGGAGCCTTTGTCATATTACTTGGATCCTGTCCTCTTAGTTTGGCTAACCTTGCTGCAACTGCCTGCTCATCAGGTACAGGAGGTACTAAAAAAAGTACTCAAATTTGTACTTCCAATTACCATGAGTCCAAAACAAGTGTCAAACTTTGATAAACTATTAATATGAGCTCTCACATTTTCACTGACATTTAAGACAGCTAAACAAATTCAACTTTCAACATTCATTCCAAAAGTATGCATCATATCCTGCTAACAAATTTACTTTTTTCATTAAAAAATATTATTTGTGTTGATGGAGTTACCATCTTTTGGTTTTTCTCTTAGTTTTTCCAACCTCCTGGCAATTTCAATGTCTTCTTTTGACATGCCTTTGTGAGATTTACTTGAAGCCACAGGTTTAGCTGCTGACTGTGGTCTAGAATGTGTGGTGCCAGTCTCAGGATTATCTAGTGCAGCCATCCTTCTGAGATTATAACAGTGTTAACATTTATAAACATATTAAATATCCAAACATCAAAATGGTATAAATTATGTAACAATAATTAAAATATCAAGTTGGAATATCCTTGCTGAGAAAAATGATTCGCAACCAGTATATTAAGTTATATATTATATATTTTTGATAAATATATATTTTATATATATTTGTGAAATGGTTTAAATATATGAAAATAGTCTGTTTATTCACTGTAGTGCTTCTGGAATTATAGTTTTAAATTAACTGACAAGTACTGATAAAATACCTTTATAAAGACTTACTTTTTGAAGGCAGCTGGGGGAGAGTATTTAGATGTATATGTATCTTCCTGTCTTTTGCTAAAAGTAAACTGTAAGAATTATTCATTTATATAAACATTTTTTTGGTTTTCACAACATAAAATGCATGACTTCTGGTCCTGGAAACTCTTACTCAATTTCCTTTTAATGGTGATGATTTGTTATAATTAGCTCTGCACTCTTTGTCAATATCATTGGTTTACGCCACACTTTTCAGTACAAATTTATAATCATAAACTATGATTAGCTCGACACTCTTTGTCAATGTTATTAATTTACATTATAACTTTTAGTACAAATATTAACCCTATGTGAATCATACACTGAAATTTCACAGCAACAATACATTATTCACTGATTAGGTGTTTTTGTAATTAGATAAAGAAAAAGGAATTTGATTTTAGTTTTGGAGAAACTTACCCAGATAGAATGTCATAACACTTCTGACACACATGGTGCACTTCACTATTGCGTTTTGGCACTGCAATTTTACTACTCACACATTTACTACAGAAGCCAAATCCACAGTTCTTACACCCATGCTGCAAAGGAATTAAGCAATGAAATTAACATTTTTTTCTAAAGTGTAAAAAAGGGTTGGATTCTGCGTACAAATCAAGGAATGCCTACTCACAGAATAAATCAAACTTTTCTGACTCTGGTATACTCATCTAGATAAACTTATGTTTGAGTTTTTATATATTCACTGGATGTATCTGATGTAGCTCAGTTAATTTTAAAGAAGTTAAAGCGTAATTGTAAATATTCATGTATCAGTGTGTCTTATTTACCTCCGGGCGTTTTTTGCAGAACCCACCTTATGCCATGCTAATTATCAGTTTATTCAGTTACTTAAGATGTATATGTTAAAACCAAAAAACAAACGCTCAAGCACGGTCAGCTCACAACTCCTATCTTCCTTATATGAAATTTACATCAAAAGCATAAGGGGGAAATTTCATATTTCTGCGAGAT